CTTTAAACTACACCGCTCACAACGAATCGCCGTATTTCACCTTCTAGAAGAACAAACTGAACACCTTCATATATGGCAGAAAAAATATGCAAATAAATTGAAAAGTGTTCAGTGTTTAGATAGGTGACTAGCTAAGTTGACTTTGTTGTTGCTAATTAGAGAGTCGCACACATTTGAATGCCTAAAAGCAGAACTCGCATTAGCAAAGTCCGTCTCACTTGGCGTATGAGCAACGAAACGCCTCAAGGTTAACGGCGAACGACGGCACCTAAAGCCCGCAAAATATCTGTTTTAGAATCGGCCCAGAAACACAGACAAAGCGGACTGGGGAAGCTGTATTCGAATTTCGAACCGCCTTAAAAACGAGTTCTCCCCGCTCGAGTAGCGTGCAGCCGCTGGTGACCTTCGCCTTGAATCGCTCGGGTAATCTTGGCCGGACTGCAATAACCGGCTGGCGGTTAAAAAATATATCATTAAAACAACCTCGGACCTTGTCCACATGGGCACCTCAGCTGCAAGTTTGATTAAGTCGCATTTCCTGGCATTACAACTTGACTTGACATTGGCATAGGAGAACTTTATTTTAAGCCTGATAATGGCAAGATACATATAAAACTGAAATGTTTTTATATTAAGTTATTGCATATGAAGCTAAGTTTTATTAATTTATTAGCTTTTTGGCATTGGGAATAATTGCTACTACCCATAAAAGTTGCCAATTAAAATCGTACTTATTAAATTTTGTTTAAAATTGTTTTTCATGTCTATGACTGGACCTATGAATTGCATTTAATATTACCGTTACACAAATGCACAATGTTTTGTGAAATTTCATCACATTCTTAGATTTTTTAAAATTAGAATATTAAGGTACCTTAAGAATTTGGCTCACGTTCACACTAAAGGTAATTGCACAAGCCATTTATAGAATGTTATATAATTTTATACTCAATAGCTTCATTCGTCTGTTTGGATGCCAAAAGAAATTACATTTTAATAAACAATCCTCATTACAATAATTTGAGCACATGCGAAAGCAGCCAACCAGATCACTATAAAATATATATTTATTCATCTGCTACTTCTGGAAACAAATCAATCATAAATAGAACAAAATGAACACAAATACAGAAATTAAAAGAAAAACAAACAGCAAATTCGAGCCAGCCCCTCAGGAAATGTGTTGATATGCATAGGCAAAGTAACTTAACCGAAGTAAGTGGAAATGAACGGCAAAAAAATCGAAATCCAGTAATTTTGTTTTCATGAAAGGGAATTGAAACGATTTCCCAGGGGCATTATTTTAAGCCACAACTACTAATAAAAGAGGTATTTTACTCGTTGATAATATCGAAATTACAAACAGGCCTTTTTGTTTTCCATTTATTGAATTCCGGCAAACTATTTAGATGCCGCTAATTAGCGAACATGCAAGCGATCTGTTGGGATAAAGCTGCACTCAACATGTGCTAAATGTACAAAATTATTTAAAATGATAATACACAAAAAATATTTAACTTTTTGCAAAATGTAGCGTTTGTATATTGTTTTAAGTTCGTGAGGAACCATTCGTTTTCGATTTTTAATCTCAACTCGCTTATCAGTAACTCAAACAATAACAATCGAGTGCTTTAGTACCCTATGTATAGACTTGGTTATCTCGAAAATTTTGTGGGACCGCATGACACGTTGTACAAAGCTGCAGAACAAAAAAATTAGATTTGACTTAGTACATGCTACATAGACACATACGTAAGTATGGAGTTGATAAGATCGATGATATCAAGTTTGGGTTCAACTGCAACGTAGGTGTTTCTGACTAAAATGAAACGTCAGCATTAAAACGCTTAATGGTAATTAAATCAAAAATACCAATTTACTTGACTGAATTCAAGAATATCTAATATCAAATTTTGAATGAAATCGTTATTATATTACACTGAAATAATTTGCTTTAAGTACTGAGTACACGAATAACGATTTACATATTCAAACAGTGTGCAATATAGATCGAGAATTCATATCAGTACTTTTAAGGTCATATGCATATAATATAGGTTCTTATTTCTGTTTATCAATAGATCGAGTAGTAAATCAGTTTAACGCCAGTAAATTAGGAGCTTCACCATTAAGTTCAGGGAACTGTGACCAAACTCAAAAAATTTATAGCTTTCTGACTCATTTCAATATCAGAGCCAATGACAGCAATAATTATTTAACAAAGCGAAATAGTCTAGTCTATGTATGTACATAGGTTGATTTAAGGCAATACATGTGAAAACAGCCGCTGAGCGGAAATGTGTACTACATTTAGCGACTAAAGTGATAACCAGACCCGATGGAACGGAATGAGAAATAACTTGGTAAAGTATCATATCAGTAGCACTTTCCTAAGGTCCAAACCCCTAACCTTTTTGTTTACCCCTTTTACGCGTTATTCAATCTTGACTCGTTTTAACCCACGTCTGACCTTTTCGACCATACACGCAAGCCACAAACAAAACAGCAGGGCTTCACAATATCATAAGCAACATTGGTAGAGCTCTCTCTGACATTTGAGAAGAGAGCTATAAAGCAGCTGGCCAGGAAAAAATGTAAATAAAGTAGTACACGAAAAAGCTTTTTAGAATTGGATTGGTTTAAAATTACTCATACGACCAGTAATGTCAGTCAGAACAAATTAGTTGATTAAAGGGAACAGTACGTATGAGTGATACTGCGCAGACCTCAGAACGCATTGCTTCCTAAAAATTGATTATTTATTATTTTCCACTTGGAAAATAATACTATATTATATCCAAACATTTTTTTCTAATCAAAAAAAATAAAATTATTGTTGAAAAATTTAAAACATCAAAATATGGACAAGATACATATTATAATATCGTATTTTATTTAGGATAAATTTACTTAAAGAGTACAATTGTGTGGGGCCCCCAAAATAATAACAATCCACCCCACAATCTCAGTTAATTTGCTTGAGAGGGGGATGGCACCAGGGAGTAAGACCGAGACAGCTGTCATTTACATACTACGCCAACCGCCGTTATCAGAACAAAATACAGCTGTGGGGCAGCAACAACTCAGCTGGGGGCCCATGTATGTATGTGTACGGATTGTGTGGGTGTAAGCGTAAGTGTGCTGGTATGTGCGTCTGGCTTGAAATTCTGCTTTTAATTTTAACCCAAGTGCAAGTGAACTTATGCCCTATTCTGGTTCTTCCAATTGGAATGCCGGTTTTCGACTTGTCAATCTGGTTGGAAACTCACCTACTAGACAGGTATGTCCGATTATCCATACAAGTACTGCTTTGTTGCAGTTGCACTGTTTTTCTCTGGTAATTGAGAAATTAAGAAAACTCGATACAGATACGCATTGCAGTTTTGCACACTCGCACTTAGATTACACAAATACACGAACACAATTGCGGAAATAGCGAAATAAAGTTGTATTTAACAGCGTTTCGACATGTCCACTTCCCGTTATTCACCCACAGTTACTACAAGACTTTTAACCCCTTTTGTGGAGACAAAACAATACAAAGAATTTGCGAGAAAAATTAATTGGTAATGCACCCCCCGTGGCCGTTAGAAATGCGCAGCGAAAGATACGTCCGAACCGCTCGGCACGAAGAAATACATAAACCCGATAGGTCGAGTGCGATTACCGCTAGCAGCTGGGGAGTATCTGGAAAAGTGCTGCGCAACGACGTCAGCCAGCCGCCCTACAACACTGTCAGTGGCGCCAAAATGAGGCGTTCAAAAAGTCACGATATTGCCAACAGTGTTGCCAATTAAAGTTATAACCACTAACCATATTGTTGTATGGTTAGTGGTGATAGTGAGCCGGAAGTCCTGGAAGTCGGACTGCAGCGTGCCTGTGGTGTTGGAAGCGAACAGCAGCCATTGGCCTTCCATGCCGAAGGTGGCCAGTGCAGGAACCGCGGGAGATGGGCCTTAATCATTATCTGCTTCTGGTTGGGCTCCCGCAGAAAGCCCTCAACCCGTTTTCGAAGCCCTTGTTCACATTGTAAACCGAACCAGGCATGTGGAGTCTCCGAATAAGCCTTTTCCACACCTTTAGCTGTAACATTAAGATGCAGTGAATCGCAGATCAATCCGAGAATGAGAAACCACTTACGTAACTCTGCCCCCGAGATTGCATTTAGGATGCAGCAGCACAGCCAAATCCACGAAAACAACCCGTTCATAACGAGGGGCTCCAACTGACATTGACTTAGTACAAGCTTCAGACGCGATACAATTAATCAATTAATCCTAGCTACGATAGCACTTCCCTTACTCGAAAGCTCGATAGTATAGAATAGAATTTTATAAAATTCGTTGTGGGCAGCTCAATCTATGAAGCTTGTCTGCACCATAACCTGATCTATGCATTACATCTGGTCAACGATAATAGTATAATGAATTTCTGATTATGAAAATAATCTTATGAATTACTGTAATCAAATAAAAGAAGAAAATGTTTCAAAAAACCAAACATTTTTATTTGGTTTCTGTGAAGATAGCTCATATAATTTATAATTTTATTGAAAAATATTTAAAAAATCGGACAACGCTATCTAAATTTATATGGTGCCCAATTATTTATCGTGCTAAAGTACGGAAGCGAAGAAATAGCTTTCCAATGGCCCATAGATCTTCTGTCTCCGAGTGAAAGGGGACGCTTTCAATATTACTTTGTTCTAAAGAATGTAGACGATATTTCCAGTAAATATTTATAAATAATAAACTTTGAAACCACTGTGCAATACTAAAAGCCATTTTCTTAAACCTTTTTTCTTGTTAGGCTTTAAAGGCATTAAAAGACCAAACAATAGTTTGAGAACAAGTATCTGTCTGGAGTCCATCCTATTGGCCATGTCGCAAAGGAATTAGAAAAACACGATTGGAGATCCCCGTCCGGAGTTGTCAGTTTATCTCTAGCTGCCAGTAGCAAAGCCTGTGGGGAGAATTAAAACTAAACCTTTTTTTTGGAAAATGAGTGAGTATCGAATGGACAGTAATCCGCCAAATGCAACCCGCTAATCATTACCTATTAACCGATCCCCCGGCAGCGTCTCCCTGTGGCAAGTGCAACAACTGCCCCTGCGGCACCAGTGGCGGAGCCCCGCCCCCCAGCAGCCGCCCCAACGCCCGCCCCCGCAACAACAACAGCAGCAGCAGCCGGACAGCTGTCCGTATCCGCAGGCCCAGGGACAGGGGGCAGGAGGCGGGGGCTGCCAGGTGAACTCGTACCAGCCGCCGGGTGACCCCGCGGCATGCAGCGCCTACCAGAACCGGGGAGGCCCAACCGTGGAGTGCACCTGTGGCCAGAACCGGAACCGCGGCCCTCCCCCCGCAGGTCCAGGCCAGGTCGACCACATTACCTGCAGCCGAGGTCCCCGGGAGCAACCACCCGCCATGGAGACGCGCTGCACCTGTCGCGAGAAGCCGGCCAAGACGGAGTGCTACTGTGCGCCGCCCGTGGCCCCGCCCCCCAATCAGCAGCAGCAGGCGATGGCCCAACCCACCCACGCCCACGTGACCTGCGGGCAGAGCGTGCCCAGGGGTCCGCAGCCGTATCGGAGCCACCAAACGGGTAACCAGACCAGCTGCGGTCACTGTCGGGCGCAGAAGAAGCAGAAGAAGTGCATCATCCAGTGAGCGGGTCGAGCTGGACGAGCTGGAGGGGAACAGGTCCCAGCAGGCGCTACTGAGCAGGCAACACAAACACTCTCCACATGACAGTACTCCTTCATTTGGGATCAGCTAAATTTCCAGTTTTGCTCAGCTTTCAATGTGACCGCTAATGGGCAAGTCGAGCCGGTAGTTGTTCATCCATTGTACCCTTAAGTGACTCTCTCCCAAACAGGGAACATTCCGAGCTCCAGCCAAGTTGGCCGGAGGCCATCGCAATATCGCAAGGAGGAAGACACCTTCCATGGGAGCCACCGGAATCCGGAGCGGAGTCACAGTCGCCACTGTTTCGTCATTCGCTCGCAAAGGCCTCCAAAGAGAGAGTGTGTTCTGGATGCGGGATCCCGCTACGGTTCTCCGACGAGCTGCTGTTGCCCTCCTCTTCCGCCTGTTACTCCAGCCCGCAAGCGGTGCTGTTGTTCCTCACCCCCAGATCCTGTGAGGCAGAGGAGCTCCGGAAACAAGTCCCAGGGATGTGGTGGCCAGGCAGCTCGAAGGTTGAAAGTTTGTCATCCGGATGCATACCCAGTGCCTGAGATTCTGAGGACAAGGCAAATGGGCCTCCATCCCTTGGCTGCAAGATGCGATTGCGGGACAGCTGCAGCTGACCAAGAAGAGGCAGCTTTTTTCGAACCAGAGCCACAAGCTGAGATCTCGCACAGTGACTCCGTGGGATCCTTCCAGCCTGCTGTCCAAGCTGTTTATGCAGGCAGCCAAGAGCACCATGATCCGTACTATCCATGTGCCCCTAGACAAGCTCGGCAGCAGGAAGTGGATCCTCTGGGCAACTTTGATTTAAATCGGTTTGATAGGGATGCCACCCATCGAGGTCCTGGAGGTAGAAGAAGAAACGTTTCCATTCGCACTTGCCTTGACTACGACTACGAACCGGAATATCCACCTGCGCAGAGTTTTCCCAGGCATTCGACACTGCGGAGTCCTCCTGGGCATCCACCTCCGCAGAGTCCTCCCGGATATCCACCTCCCGGATATCCACCTCCGCGATCTTACCGCCCCCCTGCATATGCACCCAGAACTCGGCCACCGCCCCCATCTTGGCAACGATCAAATCGGCCTAGAGCACACCCGGGATCCTATGGTTTGTACTATTCGAAAAATCCGAATTCATTTAAGCCTAAGTTTTTCTTTATAGAAAATGAGGAAATCGAGTTCGTCAAGTGTCCGTATAGATGATTGATTGATGCTAAATTCAAAATATATTTAAACATTATAATAAAGAAATAAGTGAGTAGCCAATAATGGGTCTCGAGATGTTTTTATAACTTAAAATTGGAAAGACAGTTATATTTTTAAAACTTAAATCTTCCTAAAATCATCCACTTAAAGATGGCTATGAAATTTTTGCGATTCGGACAACTGAAAGGTGTTTAAGGTTTGGCTTGCCGCATTTGTTTTGCAGCTCGTTTTTACAGTTCCCTTTACTACAAAATACATCTTCGATTGTTTGTTATCATGTAAATTTAAACAATTTCAAAGATTCGCCGCACTCACAGCTCATTTCTATTATACTCCTACAGTTTGAATGTTCCACTTATCGATAATCACACTTCGAATACATCCCTGAAAGTTTGAGAAGTACTTTTGTTGCAACGCACTGGATTTCAGTGTTGTAAGGCAGCAGTGAAGAAGAAGAGTCGGCGACGCGTGCAAAACACGCCGAATTTATTTTATTTTATTTTCAAACAACTAAAGAAATCCGACATGGATGATGCAGATTACGATAATGATGAGTTAGTGAATGCCGAATATTCCAATACTTGAGTGCTTTAAACGGTTTACTTTACTATTGCAGCGTTGGCGGCGACGATTTCGATGATGTGGACGAGGATGTGGACGAGGACATTAACCAGGAGGAGGAGGCGGACAACATCGAGATCATAGCCCCCGGTGGCGCGGGCGGAGGAGGGGTCCCGAAGTCAAAGCGAATCACCACCAAGTACATGACGAAATACGAGCGCGCAAGAGTCCTGGGCACCCGTGCCCTCCAGATCGCCATGTGCGCACCCATCATGGTGGAACTGGACGGGGAGACAGATCCTCTACAGATCGCCATGAAGGAGCTCAAGCAGAAGAAGATCCCCATTATCATTCGCCGATACCTGCCAGATCACTCCTACGAGGACTGGAGCATCGACGAGCTAATCATGGTAGACAATTAAGTAGTACACAATCTAATTACACATAACGAAATATACAGATTAATATTAAGCGAAAACCAGATAGTCGTTCAATTCCAGGGAAGACGAAAAGTTAGAATAGTTTGACGATCAGAAAATACCCTTGTATAATCTCGATCCGTAAACTTAAAATCAAATCTACGTTTTTCAAAATACACTTAAGACTTTTGCTAACTGGAGACCGACTTGCTAGAATTTATATTTATTCATCCCTGCTTTACAAACTTCGTTAGCAAATTATCACCATCAGACCCCGATTGACTAGACCATCAACCCTTAGCTAGCACACATTTTTATTTCACGTAACAACATTTACAAATTAAGATTAATGCAACAAAGCGAGCTGCCCTTCAATGCGAGGTGTAGAATGTAGCGGAACCGCTCCCTAACTCCATGCGTATCCCTCGCCCCTTTGGTAGCAAACGCGCTCAAGAAGGCCGACGGCATGTTGGCCAGTGCGGCAGATGGCGCCCACCACACCCGGCAGCAAGCCGCACTCGGAGAGATTCTGTTCGCCAAAGACCTGCCCGGCGGTATCTTCTCCTTCTCCATCCATGTCTGGCTCCTCCGGGCTCTCGAGCAGCTTTTGGGTGGCCTTGCTAAAGGCCAGAGTGTTGGTGCTGCTAGCCAGCGTCGAGCTAAACATTTGACGCGTCTCGCAAAGCAGCTCCGCCACGCTGGGCAGGAATGTGGGCAGTATCAGGCCCTTTATGTCCACGCTGAAGTAGTCGACGCCATCTAGGCGCACTTTCTTGGAGCGAGGCACCAAGTGCTGCATGGTGGCTTTGGGGAAGGCTATAGGTGACAGCAGAGTGGGTGGCACTCCGGCCAGACGACCCACAGTGCTGATAGCACTCTTGGCGTTGAGGAGGTAACTAAAGAATCCCTGGCACTCAACACCATCGATGAGAAGCAGGGAGTTGTCGCTGAAATCCTCTCGCATCTCAGCAGCCTGCTGTTTTCTGGCATGCGAGGACTGGATGCGTCGCAACTCGCGTTCATCCACGCCCAAGCTCTCCAGCCAGTCCTCGTCGTCGTCCTCATCTTCCTCGGCCGGCGTGGGAGCTTCTTCGCCGGTTTCTTGCCCCAGGGAGTTGCTAGTGCTTTCCTCGGTGAAGCTATTGTCGTGGGCGTTTCCATTGGCCTCGCTTTTTAGAGGCATGCTGAACTCGATTCCCTCCTGCCTGAGAGCCTGCCGCATTCCCCGCGTCGAAGGAGTGACCAATGCGTGGCTCTCGGCCCGACCGCCCACTCCGGCAGCTCGGAACAACACCGTAAAGGTGTTGGCGCAAAGGTAGAAGTACGGGCACTGACGAGCCCGCAGCAGCTGAAACAATCCCCGGAAGCTGTAGTCCCACTCCTCGGCCAGAGCCTTGCGCTCCCGCTCACCCACGACCACGCCCACGTTCTCCTTGGCGGTGCGCGGGAAGAGGGTCAGCCAGGGCAGGTGCGGGTGCTGCCAATAGTAGGTGCACTGGTTGAACCGCGTGGCGTCCGAGATGTCTAGAGTGCTCTCCGTACGCTGCGGATCCATACAACGCACGAAGCTGGTGAGACCGCTGGCCAGTTGCGAGGTCTTCAGCTGAATGGCCGGTAACTCCGTGGGACAGAAAAAGCGGGCGCGCGTCTTCAGGGACCAATCCACTGGCAGGTGGACGGTGTGCTTCTGCCGGGCGGCCAACTCCGCGTCGTCCTCGTCCTCCGCATTGACTTGCTGCTGAAACAGCTTGGCGAAGGCCTGAGGGTCATACTTCTGCAACACGAACTTGGCGGGCGGTGGACGGGTGGGAGTTTCCCGTACAAAGCAGGATGAGGCGGTGACCACAGGATCCTGGTCCGGCACTTCTGGATCAACCCGTTGCTTCTTGGCATCGGCTGTGGATCTACGGAGGCCATGAGGGATTAGGTCTCACGAATAGAGTTCGTAACTCACTTGGCAAATGGATTCTTCCGCTTTTGGGCAAGCTTGGCTTCTAGTAGTTTGCTTTTATCAGTCTCATCCACCTGAAGCCCGAGGCGCCTATTGTTATTATTGCTCACGCGGGCTGCCAATTTGTTCTTCTTTTGTTTAAGCCTCTGCAGCTTTATAAACTGGAAAATTACAAAATAACGTGAACATCTGGGTTGTGGGCGGGTGCTCCTCCAAAATCTATACCCACATCATCTGGTCGCGTCCATTTGGAAGCCAGACTTGTTTCGCTGGACATATTAACTATTATAAATATTATACGATTTATCAAATTGCTAAAGGTGTTTAAGGGACACTAAATAACTAAAGACTCGAAACGTTTGCGAAACCACAAAATACAGTAAAGGCGCGCAATTAGAGATGTGCAAAAATGGTGTAATGAAAGATTAGTTGCGTGTTTTGCTATTATCTGCCAATTTTAAACAAAAATAAACTATAATCCAATCATTTAATATTTTTCTTTCAATCCATGAAAAATTGTTACTACATATATCTAAACAATTTGCAAGTGGACAAAAATAAATTGGTGAAACTGTTTCTGTAGGAATATAATGAATTGTTGATACGTACATTCAACATCAAAAGTCTTAAATATACAAAAAAATTACAAGTACATAATATTAAGATATATTTAAAGCCATCTTGATGAGACTTTTCCAAGAGTCTTTATTCTATTGTAGGTATTATATATATATTATATATGACTATATTATATAGTTCAATATGACTATATTATATAGTTCAATATGACTATATTATATAGTTCAATATGACTATATTATATAGTTCAATATGACTATATTATATAGTTCAATATGACTATATTATATAGTTCAAGAACAACAATGGAAAAAATAAATTTTAAAATTTACGACTTCGTTGTTTTTAAACATATATGTATTCCGAGATATATTATTTTTTTTCAATTCAGAATAATGATATTTTTTTATAAAAAGTAGTAGTCATTAAAAGTCATAGAAACGATCGACAAATGTAGTGTCTTTAGTCGTTAAATCGATTTAGAGAATAAGCTTCGAAGTTTGATTACATTCTATTTGGTTTTTTCTATAAAAGTAATATTTTCTTTAAAAAAATGTTCGAAAACGGTCAGATATCAGACTTTTTTTTGAAAGCTTATCTTGCATTATTACCAATTATTTATAGTTCGTAAAAAAATAAAACGGAATTGCAACCAGCCAAGTGGAATTGCCTGTGTCTATACCCGATCCTTTTTTGAATTGAAAATGTTTCGATAGTCAGATAAAAATAACATCGCTGCATAGCTAATAATAGATATCGATAGCCCTTTTGGCCATCGATAGCCCTTTTAGCCATCGCTATGCTGCCTTGCACTGCCATTACCAGCTGTCACAACAATAAATTAAAACTTTAGAATATAAAATAAACAATGGACATCGCCAATGTCTGTCGGATATGCGCGAATAAAATCAGGGGCCAGAAGAGCGATCGCAACATATTCAAGTACATGCGCGGCAAGCTGCTGGTGCAACTAAAGCTGATTACAGGAGTGGAGGTAACTCGGTCTTTATTGGCCCAATTCATATTAGTTTAAAGTTTCGCTTTTCACAGCTCACAACCGACCAGGGACTGCCGGAGTTGGTCTGCGAGCGTTGCTTTTCAGAGCTGGACTTGGCAACCAAGTTCCGCGAGCGCTGCATCTTCTCGCAGAAGTATCTGTTGGACATTAAGAAGAAGGAGCGGGATCCGAGCATTGTCCGCGTCAACCTAGATCCTGAACCGCTGGACGAGGAGTTGATCGATGCGGATCAGTTGGAGGCGCACCACGACGAGGAGTTCTTGATCTTCGACGGAGCGGACGAGGAAGAGGCTGAAATATACGAGTTCCAGCCCGATGACGATCCCGATGACGATCCCCAAGCCTCAGTGATGGCGGCTGCGGAGGCGGCGCACCAGGCGGAGATCCAGGAGCAGCAGCTGGAACGAGCCGCCAAGCGACGCAGGAACTTCTTCATCTGCGACGAGTGCGGGCAGCTGTTCAATGACGAATACCTTTACAACGAGCATTTGGACGGCCACCTGGGCCGCCGGGAGATGAAGCAGTTCTTTCCCTGCAACGAATGCCCGGAGACCTTCAAGAAAAAGGCTCTTCTGAAGCAGCACCGTGCTAAGGTTCATGGTGGCCAGCGAAAAAATTTCGAGTGCTCCATATGTGGCGAGGTTTTCTCGGCGCTGGGAGCCAAGATACGGCATGAAAAGTAAGAGTACTGAAAATCCATATATTCTAGTGTGTCTTAGATATCTCTGAGTTGTCGTTGTCACAAAAAATTAAATTTGGTTGCTTTTAAAACCTTTAGCCATAGATCAGGTTAAGTCTGTGAAAAAAATTTTGACAAATCTTTGGCACATCTGATTGTTTGGTATTGTTTGCTATTATATTAAGTCCTTCCAAACTAATTTTCATATCTATGGCAATGAATATATGAGCAACATAATGACATTCTTACATCATCAACAAATCCTAAGATATAGTTGTTTTGTGAAGTAATAAACAAGCAATATATAATAATTGCTATAACCACTAATTATTTTTAGAGCTCATGAGAACGAACGACCTTACCCGTGCTTGGAATGCGGAAAGATTTTCTGTACTGTCTCCGAGTTGCAAGACCATTGTTTAACCCACTCAGAGGACAATCGAAAATTCAGGTGACACTTTAGTTTCCACAGCTGTCTATTTTGATTTAAAGTTTTTCTCTTAGGTGTGAGCCCTGCAACCAGAATTTTATAACCCGAAAGGCGCTGCTAAGACACACGGAAACTCAACCGCACAAGCGTTTGGCTAGGCATATGCAGGACGAAATTGAATTGATCTTTGACAGTTAATCGAATTCCTTACACTATTTATAAGTTATTACATCCGTACATTTAATTACATTGAAGAGTATCAGCCAGAACTGATATGGGATATCTATCAGAATCCAAGGACGTATTTTTGTTAAATCAATTTATGTTTTTTTAAATAAACATAGGATTATGCACCTCTTTATTCATTACAAATATTCTCCAATGTAAAAATTAAGAGTACACATTGTTAGAATTATGATAGATTTCCATATGTTGGATATTGGATCGTGTTAGAACACGGGCAAAAACTTTCTCTAGGTTTGAAATTGTATGTGTTAACTTTGTCTCTTTATATTTTAAACTTTTCTGAATTAAACTAAAAAGGTTTTAATTTTTGAACATGTTAAATGGATTTTAATTTTCTAAAACTTTGTCAGTTTGTGACATAGCATAATTCAGTTCCTTTTAGGTACATTTAGCTATTATTATCTGCCCAGCTAATTTAATTTTTATGTTTAAAAGGACTGTCCTATCAAAAAAGAGCTTTTAAAAATGGCGCATGCGCCCTTTTTTGATAGCTTATCAACTTTGACTGCTTTATATAGAGGTCTTGGAATGCATTCCTGTACATTCCACAAATTCAACTGGTAGCCGTCACATCGGAGCGAAGAACACTACGTCACATTGGTATACACACCGAATCGAAGCAGCTGCCGCCGAAAAATCAATATCTTAGCAAACTTTTACGTGGACGGTTGAAATCGGTTAGAAATGCGCAATATGTTTTCCCGTTCGCAGAGTAAGTCTTCAGAAACAAATGTGAAATGTATTTTAAAGGGATCATGGATGATTTTCCAGGTGTGCACATGCTGGTTGGTGCGCTCCTTCTGCTTTCCAGTAGCTACCAAGTGCATTCCTATGGCTCTAAGGATATTTTAGCCGATGCCCTGCTGACGGATCTTCTCAATCGTATGGACAACGACATGCAGGTGGGATACTATGATGTGGACAACGAGGCAGCTGCTGGCTCCAAGGATAATGTTGACCTCGTCTCCCGATCTGAGTACGCCAGGCTGTGTGAAGGGGGAAGCGACTGCATCCTGCCATCGGGAGCTGGTTCCCATCCCTCCCTGCGGGACCACGAGTTCACGCAGCATAGCTCACTCTGGGGTCACCAATTCATCTCTGGAGGCATGGGAGAGGGTCCCAATAGGTATCCAACTATTGTGAAGAACGATGCCGGCCTGCCAGCATACTGCAACCCCCTAATCCCTGCCCGGAGGGCTACGACATGGAGACCCAAGGCGGCAGCTGCATCGTGGACTTTGAGAACACGGCCATCTTCAGTCGGGAATTCCAGGCGGCTCAGGACTGCACCTGTGACAATGAGCATATGTTCGACTGCTCGGATCAGGATAGTGCTGATGCCGTACCGGACAAGGCTGACTTGAACTCTGCCGTGGAGCAGTACATCCTACAGATGGGCCAGGAAAACAGTCTGAACAACGTGAACAGCCTGGTAAAGAAGGCCGGATATCCGGCAATGCCCGATCCGCGCTTGGATGCTGCAGTCATGAACCCGTTCCTCCAGGGCGATCGCTTGCCCATCGCCGCCAAGAAGGGCAACCTGCTCTTTCACTAAACTAGCTCGCTGGTAACTCGAGCATATACGACCATACCTACATCTTTTTCTGTATTAGGTGTCTAATACTATTACCTATCATAGTTGGTTATTAATGTTGTCCCGCAACTAAAGTCTAGAAATGTTTCTTCCCTACCCCGCAAATAAAGTTATTCGTATTAAACCAGGGCTCTAAGCCGAACACAAATACATATTGTTTTAAAACAGATGCAGATTGTACTTGGTAATTGTGTTCCATTTCAACTAATTTGATATTTGTATTCGATATTTGTATTTATTTGTTGTATCAAAAGTTGTACAATCCATCAAATTGTCAATAATCAATTATTTAAAGAGAACTATGTATCTTCGTTATGTCGAATATATAAATAGGTCATCTCTCTGCTGCACTTACGAATCAGCTTCGCGTTGAGTATTTTGTGTCAGCATGCACTGGTCGTGTGTCCGGATGGATCCACACGGGGATTGACTTAAACGTAGCCTAACAAATGATAGTATAGTACATTGTATGAATGTGGTTGCCACCGTGGGCAACCGATTTACCTGCCCACGCACAGGCACACATCGGCACTGGCAGTGTGATTAGCTAAGCATAATGTTCGTTGTGTCGTCAGGCTCCATCTATGTCCTGAATCTCTCTCGCGTCCCTAAATATACACACTATACAACATAATCCTGTCCTGACTACAACTCTAGGTGTGGGCTTAGTCTTACGTTTAGGCAGTTAATGGAAAGAGGCGGAATTCGTTAACAAGTTCTCTAGGTCTAGCTTAGCATTATGTCTAGGATGAACGGGCTTGCTCAAAGGCGACCTGTCCCGTTGCCGCCGTTGGTGTTTTGCCCCCAGGAAACCTGGTGGTGCGGGTGCGGATTCCGGGTGGTCAGCCGCAGGGAGTTGCCGTCGCCGTCCTCGTCTATCACGTGCTCGTAGCCCTGGTTGATCGTGCCGCCTCCATTTGAGCCGTAAATTTGCTGCAGGACAAGGGGAATATTTACAAAATGGAATATAATATTTACATTTCGTATTTCACAATGCAATGATCTTTTAGTAGATCAAAACAGATAGAGGTCAATTTAAGGCTCAGTTTTTAATCTGTAAACTTTCAAATGTTTATCTACACCGCATTTACAGATATATTGGTTTAAATGTTAAGCCCACTGAACAAAATATTTATTTTTTCAATTCTTACCTCTGCAGCTCCTCCGTTTACATTAAATACATCCTTGATGCTGATGCCGGCATTGGAAACGCGTCCACTTCTCTGGTTGGGGATGCCTCCATTGTTGTTGATCTATATCGAAAGATTGGAGTCAGTACTCGATGGTTAGCATTCTTGTAAATATTTCCAGATCTTACCGGTGCCCCCGTGGTAATCCCGTACTCGTTCTTGGCACCCAATGTCTGCATGGCGGACTTCCGTCTTTCGGCCATCACCGAATTCTTGCGCACCTCCAGTGCCCGGATTGTCTCTGCTCGCATTGTGAGGCGGCGCGTGAGAATGGGCGTGGCCGGGTTATTCTCCGCATCGGCGGTCAGTTTCAAGAACCTTTTCTTGAAAGCGACATCCAGGGTGCCGATTTGGCGACGTGGTTGCCTCGCCTTCTCCAGATTTTGGATGGTCTTTCTTCTGGCAATGCGATCTGGCCCGGAACCAGAGTCATTATCGTAGTCCCCATCGATGCCCTGTAGCCTCTGCAAGTTTTTAACGATCTCCACAGCATGCTGAATGGGGTAAACATAAAAGTTTACATTAAGAACTTTAGTGTTGGATTAGTTCATTTAAATTTTGAAAAATATTTTTATTTTCTTAAGATTGAATTTAAATTGCTGTTAGTAATTTAAGTAAAGAATTTTTTTTCATTTAATACCACTAACCTTATCTATAAGTTGATCCTGTGTCAGATCCTCGGACTTCTTCTTGCAGAAGTTTAGTTCAGTTGAGGCCAAGATATGCGAAATGGTTCCGAAGCGATGGAACAACATGGCCGTAAACTGAATGATCAAAATGAGAGCAAAGAAGAACACAAATACCAAACCGATTGGTTCTAGTTGCAGATACTCCTTGGAGATGTGGACCTATGGGGAAGATCAAGAGATTAGTGGGGAGCCTCAGGAATTTGGTTTTGGGTTAGTGACATTTAACGATTTGGTTGGTTGACGGTTTCGGGCTTGGATAATGGCTGATCTTAACACCAATTTTCGGTGATTGTGGTATGTTGAGGTTGAGGTGTGATACCATTTGGGAGGTTTGTTATATGTCGGGTTTGTTTATAATATATATTGGAACATATTGTATTGATGTTGGAGGAACAATGAACATGCTTATCATAACTTTGGGCATGTGTACAGAACGGTGATTATTCAGAAGGGGATAGATATTGCTTACAGTTTACCGTGTTTTCATTTGGGGCCTAACTGTTAGAACCGCTTAAATATCAAGATGTTGTTCTGTTGTTTTTACATGATGTATTTGTATGATATAAAGCCTGAACCATTGGGATGGGGCTTAATAAACGGGGGTAGCCGTGAACAAAGAACATCATTAGCTGATTTGGTGATGTGACATGTTGAACGGGTAGTAAACATTTAGAGTGAAACAGAGGACAGGCAGGGAGTTAGAGGACCCTTCCAGAGGTTTTAGGGTAAGACAAAACACTGACAGTACAGTTTTGGTAGTAACATCGTATAAAGCTTGTTTTATAAACCTCAGATGTCTCTTCGATATAGGTAATGTTCGTTTTGACGCCCAACGGCCAAATAATGTGTAATTTGTCCTTGTTCAGTTGCAACAAGAAAACAATCAGCACGAACAAGGCGTTGGCCATGAAAAACGCGAAAACCGACTTGTTTCGCAGCTCAATCAGGTCGGAGGCAATGCGGGCCTTCATTTCATTTCAGATCGTGGTGCCAAAGAAAGAAATAAACCAAAAGAGTTGTGTTAGTACAGCCGGCCAAGTTGGCAATTACCTCCTGGGTGGACTCGTCGTAGGTGATATTCGTCCTCACTCCGAATGGCCACTTCACGTGAATGTTGTCCTTGTTCAGCTGCAGCAGGAACACGATCAGCACAAAAAGAGCGTTGATCATGAAGAACGCGAACACCGACGAGTCGCGCAGCTCCTTGAGATCTTTAGCTATGCGGGCCTACAAGAGCGTTATCCGATGCGGCGATTGTGTTAGGTTTTATTGTTTCTGGTCGCGAGTTTTCCGAAGAAAATACTCACAGTAAAATGGTTGGCTTCGGCGAGCCGAAGTTTAAATTGTCATTTAAACCACTTAAAGAACTTTCTATACTGAGCCTAATACCATTCTAATTTCCTAATAAAAAACATTTAGCAATGCAATTGGATATTCATTGTTCGTTAGCAAATTAAATTAATTTTGTTTAAGGTTGCTGACTTCGAAACTGTCTTTCAATATTGTCGCGGTCAAAACCTTTTTTCCAACTTTCAACGCATGTAGTATTTAAAAACCTAAGCCACTTCGATTTAAAAGTATTATTTTGAGGAATGGCTTCAATTTAAATGGTAACTAAAACAATACTGTGTTTTGTTTCAAAAAATCGCTGATTCAGATAAGGAATCCAAATCAAACTAAACAATTTACAATCTGCGCCTGGAATTAATAATAATAAGGGGAATCTCACCTGCTCCACTGGATCATTGTCGATGGGGTATAGATACTGATCAATCAGATCCTTCCAGAACTGAATTTCCGTGCTGGAGAGGAAGTCTACCTCGCCCTTGCGCACATCGGGATCCTCGATCCAATACGGGTTGGTTAGGAAATCTCGCTCCTGCTTGGGTTCCGCCGATGTGTCCGAATCTGATTCGTCCGACTCGTCTCCGGACTTCTCCGCCACCGAGGTGAGCAAATGGTGATCCTTGGAGCCACTGGAGGTGGTCCTCCTCCGTCCGTGTCGAGAGGCATGGTGGCCATGAGGATCCACAGCACTTTCGATGGTGTCCATCCGAGTTTTGATCGTGTCCAGCGATTCGGCGATGGAGGTCAGCTGCTGCTTCTCATCGGAGGTTTTTCCGTGGGTGCAGAATATGCAGCGGAAGAGTCCGGCGAGGGAGAACTCCACGGAGCCCTCCTCATCACCATTGTCTCCAATCCCACTCTGGAGAAAGCTGAGCATGCTCTTCTGCTTCACCCGCTTCTTTGCCTCCTCGGCGGCCTTCTTCTCCGCCTCCAGCTCCTTCTTCGTTTTCTTGGCGACCACTTCACGGGTTCCCCAAGAGACGACGTTCAGATTGATGATCGAGTACAGGATGAGCAGCAAGTACATAGAAGGGATCGATAGCAGATAGATCAGGCCGCATGTTATGCACCAGAACTCCTGTGGATGCAAACATGCGGCTATGAAGAATGACCCCACCATAGATATCAAGAAAATGGCCGAAGGAGAACCTATTCCGTCCTCTCCCAACTGCAAAGCCGTACCCACAATAACAGCCATCATAATCAGAGCGTAAGCTGTTGATAGGACTTGGGCCACAAACAATTGGATATTCGATTTACAGGTGAAGCAGATGAACATAAAGGCCAGGATGGGCACGATGTTATAGTGGAAGGAGGTCCAGTTGTCGATGCGGAAGGCAGCCACAAAGGCACCCACCAACATAAGGAAAATGGTTCCGGGTCCCAGGATGGTACCCCCCATCAACATCATCTGGTAGAAGATGTACAGCAGGGATATGTTGTCGTTGATCTTGATTGTGCGCTTTGCGTCCGCCAGCAGATCCATGATGTTGGCTATAGTCGAGGGCACCCATCTGCGGCGCTGGTTGTAGAACTCATTGAAGCCCTCGGGACAGTGGGTGTACGCATCACTGGCAGCCGAGTACTCCACACGATATCCCCTCTGCAGCAACAACGTGCAGAGCCAACGATCCTCGCCCTGATCGTACTGCACATAGTGACGAGCCTCATCCGATCGGGTGGTGTACTTCTTCATCACGTTGTCATCCATGAGGGCTTTGCCCCTGAACAGGGAGAAGCAGCCTGGTGAACAGAGCACACAGCCGATCATGTGCTCCGTGGCCTTTTGTAGCCAATGACCAATGGCGTACTCGAACAACTGATACCACACCATGGGTCCCGATCCCACGGGATGAATACGTCCACAGGCGGCACCCAGGTTCTTGTTCTTCTTCATCAAGTCCACCAGAAGGGTTACCGCATTCGGCTTAAAGTCAATGTCTCCGTCCAAGGTGAGGAGGTAGGTGTTCTCCGCAATCGCATCCTTGCGATCCACCGAAATGGGCAGTTCCATGAGCCGATGACCCAGCAAGTAGTACATGTACATCACCTGGGACCAGCGTTTCCTGTGACGAATCCGATCCTTGTCCTTTAGATGAGTGATAAACTTCGTTTTTCCGGGAAGGGTCCACACCAGGCGGCCTCCATAGGGAGTGGGGTACTTCTTGGGCGGGCGCAGCCTGATGGTGGTCTGGTGGATCTCGGAGGCAGCCTCGTCCATGGTGGCGATCAAAAGTTTAACAAACCGGTTGCACTGGATATCGTCATCGCTGTGATCCGAGATTTCAAAGGCGTCGTCGAAGAAGATGTGAGCTGAAATTACAGATTGGATTAGCTGGTGTTCTGTTAAATCCCTTGGCTTACTTACTTTCAAACTCGTAGTAATCTGGATCGAGGACCCGAAGATACTTTTGCGCCACACGTCGAGCACACTGGTCCTCATCCATCCGCATGATACTCTTCAAGAACTCAATCATTTCATCCTTGGTTTCGTGCCACATAGTGGCGCAGGAGTAGATTCGTGTGATGTTATCCGAAGACTTTATCGAGGGCTTATTCGGTGCCGAAGAGCGGTCCGTGTGCACCGAGATGGTCTCATAGTATTCATCGCCCTTTTCCTTCTCGATCTCCGATAGATCCTGAAAGCGAAAAGTTATATATTGTTTCCAGATATCGGAGCTCCCAACTCACCTCTGTTTTCACATCCGCCTGATCATCCCGCCTTCTGTTGAGCGCCATTGACTGGTCGATCAGCAGTGAGGAGTACATGGGCTGGACGAACAGCTTCTCGGTGGTGGCCAGACGTTCGCACTTGGGAGTCCAGATGTGCAGCGCGATCCAGGTTTGACTTAGGAGCCACAGGATCCAGGCCCAGGCCATTTGCTCGGTGACGAAGTTGTTGAACCTGAAGTTCGAGGGGCTCGTGAAAAACAGGTAGTCCGGAATGGTGTCGTGGAAGAAGCAGGGATCGTCGATCCGGATTCCACAGGCGGCGATCAGAAACGTGACGGACAACGGAACGGTTAGACTGACGGGGAACGCATAGCTGAATCCCTGGATGAGGATCTTGCAAGCAAACTTGCCGAAGATGTAGCACAAATAAGCGCCGAATATCTGCAGGAGCAGCACATAGACCACGGTGTTGTAGGCGGCATCCACGTCCACAGTGTCGATATTGGCCGATTCCAGGGTATCAGGGAGAACACCGCCCAGGCCAGCAGGCAGCTCGTAGACGATGATCTTGTGGGGTCCAAAGGCATCTCCGTACATGGAGAACAGATTGCCGGGCTCCTCGCCCTGCGCCCAGTAGATCAGTAATGTGACGGTGAAGAAGAGCAGGATCTTCCAGATCGATAGGAATATGTGGCAGAAGTAGCGGGTGTACTTCATCTCATCCTTGATGCGCCCCAGAGCTCGGACCAAGCCTAGCGGAGATTGGGGCGACACATAGTTCTCCCACCAGCCGCACGAGATCATCACACAGGCCACCGGGATGACCCACAGCTCCCGGCGGTTCTCCAGCAGCGGCCAGATCACCAGACCCGTGACCTGGGCCGCCACCGCCGCCAGATCGATGATCACCTTCACGAACCGCTTGCCCTCCTTGGAGGTACGCGACAGGAGGCCGAAGATGCCCGGGACCACGCACAGGCAGTTGGTCAGCATGGCACCCTGGATGGCATCGATCTGGGGCAGGACCACAAACATCAGTAGGGCCATGCCCACGGCGCTCATACTCTCCATCAGCCAGACGAACAGGAAGTGCCCCGTCCGCGGCACCTTGAACGTCTTGAAGAAGCAGATGCGGGCGGATCGGATCAGGGCTCCGATCTCGGGCAGGGCGTAGGCTATCAGCAGGGCCCAGATCCAGGCCACTCGCTCCTCCTCGGGCAGCCGCACCACAAAGCTCTTGTCCCGACCCTTTGTTTTTAGAAAAATTGTAAGGAAATATTAATACAAAATTGTGTTAATACTAATCAGGGTTTACAACATATTAGTTTTTAATGTATACCCTTTATAAGCTTTCTTAATTGAAGAGGTTCAAGCCAAGGGGCTTTGAACTTATTGTCAATCCAAACTGAATGATTGTTTCTTATTGTTGATCGTGCTAATAAATCATTCATATGGGATTTTAATCTTGGGTTATCAAAAAATATTTGATTACAAAATCTAGTCTAAGAGAAATTCAGTTATTCAATGTATCGTATGCAATTATTTTGTATGGCATGTAAGAATTAATATTTTCAAATACAGTTTTAAATTATTTATATAAAAGCAAAATACGAAAAATCACATTAAGGATAAAATAGACTTTACTATAAGTTACTGGTTGTCTTATTTTTTACAAACATGTATGTTCTTACCAAGTCCTTATTGCAGTACTCCATCTTCTTATCCTTGCGCACTTGCGAGGTCATGAAGAGCATTGTGCCCTTGGCGATGACGCCACCGGTTAAAACTATGATAAACGTAAACACATAGGCGAAGATCTTCAAGATCTTGACGGTTAATTCTAAGCACTCCTGGTTCGCCGTCGATCCGGTCTCAATTTTGATAGGCGGATCCCGGAACACATCCCAACCCTTCGTTTCTTGTATGGTGCGTTGGCTGAAAAATTGGTGGGGTTAAAATAAAATAAATTTTTAAAGTCGGAAGAAACATGGTGATGTTATGTGATTGGACCTCCAATTGTAAATGTTTATAATTAATACTACCAATGTTGGATATTGTTAAGATATATGCTGAAATATTTGTAATTTCATTTCATACTAAGAAATAAAAAAAAATACAAAAATGTTATGAAAATCATATAGGTATTCATTGACGGATCCCATTCGATTAATCCGATCACCTCGCAGACCACTGATCTATGATTTTCGCAAAGCTCGCTCGACTGGATGATCTTGACTTCCGGCACTTTACGGCCCCGACTCCGCCCTGCACCGAAAGTGATTGTGGAGCAATCGCGGTCACAGCGGGGCTTAATTACAGTTGTCTGGCTGAGACACTTCGGTTCCGGTTGCCTTTTCGCGGTAGTTGGCCACCATCCAGCCAACTAGCGATCGGAATAAATTTTGAAGACTGGAGACCTACCTGCCGCCATAGATGTCGTGAGTCAGGGGCGAGCTCTCGTCATCGGTGAAGTTGTTGTCATCGCTATCGCCGTGCTCCCCGGCAGCTCCCGCTCCGGCGCCCTGCCCCGGCGGGGCCATTGGGCGATGCCGCATCGCAGACATCTCCCACGGTCGGTGCTAGCCCCCAATCTTGGAGCGGAGTGGCCAATGTTCGGCTGCAAAGAGTCGGAGGAGAGTGGTAAATAATTGGGCTCAGGTTGCGATTGTTCGATAAGCCGGTTTTAATGGACAAGTAATTTATGGCTGTGGAAAACGGCTCCCAAGGACAGGCGTCCTTTGACTCCGCCCTCAGACCGGTTTGGGCTTTTTTAATCAAGCTTCAAGATGAACCTTGAAAGCTGCTGTTACATGCACATACAGAAGTCTTTGTCTTTTCTCAAAATACCAGTTTACGCATAAATTCTCAATCTATTTATTTGCAGGTCTTAAAATAAAATGATCGATTATTTCAAATCGAAGTTAAAAGCTTTTAGTCAAATCTTAAATCCCGATATAATTATCTGTCAGAGTTTATTTAATGAAGACCAACATGGTCTTTTTTTGCCGTGTAGCCTAAACTAGTGACTCATGACTTGGGCATTTCTGTGATCAAATTTACATCTTTCTGCCCATGATTTCGAACGCTTCCATATTTTTCTCACCAGCTTTTCACTTTCACTTCTGTAATTTTCAGCAAAGAGTGATCTAAGAAATTGTTGAAGCTTAGTAAGTCGCATGCATAACTCGAGACTTTGATGCGCCTCAGTTGTTCCACATGTGGCACGGAACTGAAACCGATGTTGCCCGGGGCTTCTTCTCTTTTTATGGTAATTAAGTTCGGTTACTCGTTTGAATTGCAGTCGCAGTTGCCAGCACTGCTCGTATTGTTCTGCCAATGAAGGCCTTGTGCCAGATTCTGGTCCGAGTGCAATATTTATGATTATGAGGCAAATTGAAGACGGTATTCAATTGGTGGTGAACGATGGGAGGAGTTATATGGGTACGCCTATTTATAAGAAGTTAACATGTGTAATTAAGGCCCAAATGACAAACTATTTAGATCATTTTGAATTAACCTTGTTTTTCTGGCAATGCCAGCATTTCAGTTCTCAGTGCTTAAACCTGGGATTTAGAAGAACTAAATGAGCTAGGGTATGGAATCGGTCAAGTCTTTTGCAACCACATCTTCAAATATAAAGATGACAGGTCTTAAGTCAAAACCCTGGTCGTAAAAAACATTAATGCAATTTAAATTAATTTTGTAACAAGAAAAGAATGCCAAATCACTAGTCACATTGTCTATAAGATCAATTTGTCATTTTGCATTAACTTTGTTGCTAAAGTTTTTCTGGCAATGTCAGCTTTTCAGCTCGTCTGCCTATAACTGGGATTTAGAAGCACTACATGAGCTAGGGTATGGAATCGGTCTTTTGCAACCACATCTACAAATATAAAGATGACAGGTCTTAAGTCGAAACCCTTGTCGTAAAAAACATTAATGCAATTTAACTTAATTTTGTAAATATTGTCTAATTTTTAAATAGCAGCGAAAGAGAAATCAGTATCAAGAAAATAATGCTAATTCACTAGAGTCAGATTGTCTGCAAGTCTGTCTGTAATTGGGATACTACATAAACTAGGGGATGGGATCGGGCCAGCATTTGCAGCCACATTTTAAAATATACAAATAACAGGTCTAAGTCAGAACCTTTGTTGTAAAAAGTATTAATAGAATTCAACATCAATTTGTAATTATTGTCTATTTTTAGTATTTAACTTTTAAGGTGCACGAAGGAAAAAGAGAAATCAGTATAAAAAAAAGCCAAATCATAATCATAAAGAATCCTGTTTCGTTTCTAAAAATCCTCCATATCAAAAAATGTGTCAGAAGAGCTTGGCGACACTTGAACAGTTGAATCACAAATGGTAGTGGGCAATAAAGTTTGTGCGCCTTGGGAGGACTGTTCGATTTGTTCGGGTGCTAAGGGAGTCTCTGAAGTTTCCTGCAATATGTAAAGCTTCTCCCTGAGACGAAGGGACAGATCTACAGGAGTTTCGATCTGATTACAGAGTATGGGTTTTCTGAGCAATCCTCTGGGCAGAGATCCTCCACTTTGCCGATGCCTTGAGCGCACATCGTAACCGAGCTTGAGACTCTTGGTTGCAAGTATGTTTTCGTTCTTCAAAGGGGTCTCTAGAGGATTGCTCCTCCGGGATTTGCTGGACATGCTCGACCGGGCTTCCCCAACCTGCGCTGCCTGAGAGGCGTACAGACTGAAGCGGCTGTCCAGGCTGAGCTTCACCACCAGGACGGATCGCTCCGTCTCGTAGTTCCGACGGAGAGCCTCCAGATGCCGGATGAGCTGCAGGTCCGCCGGATGAACCGACCGGCGGGCGGTGACCTTCCGCAGCCGCTTTGTGATCTCCACCTCGGACATGAAGCACTTGACCAGCCGCTTGATTAGCGCATTGAATTGCTGATCGCTGAGGGGCCTGTGATCGGCCTCCACCACCCGGAATCGGGCGTTGGCGACCTGGTTCGGATGGATCTGACCCTTCAGCATCAGCGGCGGCAGTTGGACGCCCCCTCGGCTGCACAGCCCGGAGCTGCTCAGTTGGGTCACATCGAAGGTGGGCGAATCAAGTGGGGTCCGGCTCACAATGCGCCCCACTCTTGTATTCTTGGAAATTGATCCCGGATTCGCGGAGGTCCTCATGATCTATCTTTCGGAGTCTACCGGAAATTTTGTCTCATCAACAAAACAGGAATTCGAAATCCTTTTATTGCATTGCAGTGTTACGATTAATCTGAACAGATCACATGACAATTTTTACAATGGGAAGGAAGCAAAAAGGAAAGGAAATATATTCACATTTATAAATTTTGATTTTTCTGATCAAACGACATGCCTGCAAAAAATGAAAACATGACAACTGTGACTATCTGATTAATGATTGCTTAAGGCCTGTTTTATCCTCTTAATATTACTAAAGCAGCACATTCCTTAGTAAAAAACATACTTTTAATTAACTATCGTCCTAAAATTGCCAAACAACAAACCGCACTTTCAAAAAACTTCATGAGACTAGTCGCTGTTGCTAAAAGCAATTGGAAATTTAAGAAGAAAAATATTTAGTGCTATATATCTGAAATATCAAAGTTTTATTTGAAAGCTTTTAAGTTGAATAAGTTAAAATTTAATATCTTCAGTATGGAAAGCAAATTTTTAAAAGAACTATGTTATTGAGTTCTAATCAAAATTCAACAATGTTTCCTTGATATCAACTTGGCTTTGAGATATTAGTTCGAATATTAAAATCAAAGCCAGCAGTTCAACTAATAACCATAAGTAAAGGATAGTTATAAAAGCTAATAAAATAAAGCCTACATCAGCAGGATCTCTGGTTAAACAGCTGGTTGCCACAAAAGATGCTGTGGGATGCATTTGGCCCCCTTGTGGAGGATTCTGCGCACAAGGCGGGTATCGCTGCGAAGGATGAACCACCCCAAAGGACATAAACGTCCCACTCCCACACACACAAAGTGGAACGCACAATTTTTAAGCTTAGGGGAGCGTCAGGGTGGCTTTTACACACACATTCGGAGGAGTGGCAGGATGCTTTCGTAGAGAAAGTGTGGTGAAAGTGCTTCCTTGCAGAGCGCCTGTTTCGGGCTTTATAGGGCAGGAACAAACGTGACGTTTCAACCAGACCGTGTGGCCTAAAGGATAAGGCGTCGGACTTCGAATCCGAAGATTGCAGGTTCGAGTCCTGTCACGGTCGCATCTAATTGCTGCAATGCACTTTTTTATGCTGAGCGAATTCGTTTTTAAAATTTTGTTTTTGTTTGCTGACTAGGTCGTTGAGGTTGATTAAGTAACCACTTTGGCATATTTTATCTATTCGATAAGTCAACTCCCTTGTATTTTAAACACACAATAAAAACCCGTTTCCCCTTCGACTCTTTGGCAACTCAAAATCAATTTAATATGGGAAAAATACGCAATTGAGCAACCAACAGCGAAAACGATTAAATTGGCCACTGCCAATGAATATCTAGCAGAAACCGCGACTTCTCTCGATTCTTCTAAATGTCAAATGTCCAGAAGAACGGATCTCATCTACCAGTTGAACTTGGATTAGTTATAAATTAGCTGTAGTGCATATCTTCAAGCAGCCAAGTATAAGTTGCTTGGGAAGAAGTTGAAAAATGAATTTAGTAGCTTGAATTTGATTTAAACACTGAATTTAAGATATAAGAGATCTATTAAATCTATTTGTTAATAAACTTGTTTGGTATCACAAAACATATTTATCGGTCTTGAATACAAAATTTAACCATTTAGTTAAACCATTTATATGCTTTTTTTTAATTCCCATTCGTCAAAATTCAAAATCTTTAGAATTTACGAGCAAAATTATTTATCAGTTGTCGATTTATCATAGTTACCCAATTTGTGGAAAAAATAGAGTTAAATTTAAATTTAATACGTATGTAGGTATTAACTATTGAAATTTGTACAAAGTTAAGCAACGTGATCTGAGCCTTGAAGAATCATTTTGTGTTTTCGCATATATCCTCTGATTTTTCTTACATTTTCCTTTCGTAATGGCTTAATTCTGTCGACAGTTATCTTCAGTTGACTTCTGTCAAAATTTGAAGAAGCATTCAGTGTTTGGTTAACAGTTTTAGTTTACTTTAAAAAAAGATTGCATACACAATCCGATTACATGGTGAAAATCCGTAAAGTAGGCTATTTTTTATATAAAAATTCTAGTCCTCTTCTACAACGACTTACAATTAGATTAAAAAAAAGTTAATATTGAAAACAAGGCCGTTAATCTAACTTTAAGTCGACTAGTATAGAATGGGATTTTCTCATGAGCACCTCTAGTGGGAAAAAGAGCAAATCTTTTCAAATAAACATGTATATCCCCGGGATATGAACTCAGTTAACCCTAGCCAGCCTCAACATTGAGTACTTTTACCCACACACCAAACGTGCTCGCCATACAAAATATGACCTAAGTGGAAGAAAATCCGAGTCTCCAAACAATAAAAACCGAACAAATTAAGCATTCTGGTCGACGCGTTAAATCAACGCCGAGGGCTAGAAAGATCGAGCCCGAAAAGGATTACGGCTCCGCAATTGAATTGGCAGAGTCGGAGAAGCGAACGTATTCTCATATATTCTCATATAGATCCCCGATAGCCAACCGGTTGGGCAGGAAACAAACTGGAGCGGGCTAACTGGAAGTCTTGGAGCGGCATGGAGCCAAGCTCTTTTGTGCTGCCCACCGAAACAGACAATGGGACCCAGCTGCAGGCGTTTGGTGATTTAATAATTTTTGTCTGTTGTAATAATCACATTAGCGCATTAGGGCGGGAGGGGCAAAGTGAATGTCTATTAAACCAAATATATAAATATATATGGCCAAAGATGAAAGATACAGATAGAAAAATATAGACCAACATTCTTTTAAAACCAGAATTCTTTAGATAGGTTTTTTATTTCGGGAAGGATTTGGAAGTTCTGCCGATCATATCCTTTTTGATCAGCATTGACAGTCGGGTCTTTTTATCCAAATTTATTTTAAATATTAATGCGCACTCTCTTTTCACTTTAAAATAAACGAATATATGAACTTATTTGAAGTCGAACTATAATGAAAAGATATAAATGATATGCATGACCGGTAAAACTTGAATAGGAAATTGTATTTAAACTTTTTATATTTTTTTGCTGTGTAACTATTAGTGTTTTGGTTTTGGGGCTAAGTCAGAAGCCGCCAAAGAAGGCGAACAATTAAAACCTGCGCTCCGCCAACAGCCAGACAGAGAAACAGAAAAAAAGTGAAAGTCAGATACTTGTAAAAAATGTTATAGAAATAAACGAACACAATCTATGCGATACTGGGGCTCAGATGCCAAAGCCGATTCAGATACAAGTTGGGGCTGCAACAGTTGTTGCTGCTTGGGCTGGCGCATAAATTGATTGCTACACTTAAGCCAACTAGTCAAAACGGGAACACGGCAATCGAACCGGCCACGCCAGCCAGCTGCCGACCGAATGTTGCGATTGCCGATTGTCGATTGCCGGACAACCAGTTTTCGGCGGACAACAGGAAAACCAGCGAGCTGCGGCCAAGAAATATGCGCCAATAGGAGTAAGTCGCAAGCATTATGTGAAAAATTGCAGGCGAACCAAGCCGGAACGAACTACGAGTACCATGGTGACACGGCCAAGATGGGGCAAGTTTTGGAGTGGGGATCCGGGGAGGGGTATTCATGGGTGTGGGTTCAGTGTGCAGTGGTCAGTGGTCAGTGGCCAGCTCGCTGGGATTGGCCATTTAAGCTATTGATTTACGCTTGCCACAGCGGAGAGCCACAATTGCTTGAAGGTTGCCAGCGATCCGATTGCAGGAATACCAGTATGATATTGGATCGGGTGATTCATGCCTGCAGATGCCAGGCAATCTATCTTGAAGCTGCACCTAACATTAAGCTCGGAAGTTCACTTAAGAAGCTTTCATTGGTTTGAACACGTTTAAGTTTACAGAGATATTTTGTACACTCTCAGTTATCACATTTATATTGTTTGACAAATTACAATTAACATCCTACTGATAATACATGTTAAGTTGAAGTTTCTGTTTTTACTTTTTTGAAAAACTTAAACATTTATTTGTTGCTAAAATAGAAAATTTCTTTGAAAAGCAACATGTTTAACGGGCATGACAAAATTGAATGTCATTAAGACAAAGGACAATGACTAAAAATAATCGTTATTTAAGATTGTAATATTTAAAACAGTGTATATTTTTTACTTTATAAATTCATAAGTAGATGTCAGTTTCAACAAACTCACAAGCTTCTGAATTTTTCTAAAAACCAACTCGTCCAATCCTTTGCTACCCACATAAAAAAATAACCTCTTTTTCCTTTAATATCCAAAGAAGCTTTTCAACTTTATGCCAAGTCATTTTAAATTAAGTTGTTTCACCTTTTTGCGGTTTGTTTGACTGTAAACATTTTTACCGTTATATTCCTGAAAATATTAAAAGCCTTTTGAATGTAAAGTAAATGCGTCATACACGCTTTAATAATTTGGCATTGTGCTGTCGCGGACCTAACCAATTTAAATGCATTCAATTGCAGAAAATTGATTGTAGATATGCTTCTATATACGCCAATTGGGCAACCATGATTAATCAAGATTGAATCAAGATATTTTGATTATGTGGAATGAGTCACAGTAAAGCTTAATGTTTGGGTTTTACGTATACGTAAGTTGTATCGGAAATGGCTCTTCATTTCTGTTGTTTCTTTTTATTTGGTGTTTCCAGAGACCTGAGAATGATTTGGCTTTTGCTGGGTCTTTAATTTGGCCTTTCCATTGATGAGTATATTTTGGGATTTTGAAGATTTATCCATTAACCGATGAGGTGTCATGTTGTATGACATGGTTTTGTTTCGAACAAACGATGATACATACACTTTAAAATGAATATGGTTTTTGAAAGTTAGTTGAAAAAGTTAAAAATAAGTATTTTAGCATTGACTTTGAAAGTTTGGCGCGGGCTTACCTATTTTATTTAATTTTCCAAACAACAGTTACCTGCTGTATGGAGAGAAAACAAATAAACATTGACTATTTGCAGAGGTTTTTGTTTGGCTGCGAGCCACTCGAAAATTGTGAGCAAAATTTAAATGAGCAGGCGGAAAAGAAGCTTGCTGAGAAGAGAGACCTCGAGACCGCAACAGAATCTTGAAGAGGAGGCGTCTGAGCGAGTCTTATTGAAAATGCCAAGCGGATGAGTGGACGTATTCGCCAATAATGAGATGATCCAGGTGAAAACCACCGCCAGGTGACATTTCGCTCTGGCAATTCCCTTGTGAAAGCACCTTCTAAAAGCCCCTTTAAAGTGATAAATGCCAAGAAAATCTTGAGGCCTGACTCGCCTTGGCTTGCTAATTTAATTCATAATTTATAGAACAAGTTGCTTGGTTTTTGGGTGTGTTGATATATTTCGGCGAACGGGTTTTGTGATCCGCAAACAACGCAAATTGTTTCCAGCTCCGAAATGCTAAATAGTCAGATTGGCTGCAGCTTGTAAAGAAAAAGCAAAAGTGTTGCCAACAAAACCCGTTAGCAGCAGAGCTGAAGAAAAGAAAAGAAAAGCGAGAAGCTGCCAACGAAATAGAAAGAAATCCGTAACTTTCACATGCAGAAATATGGTAAGAGAATTGTACCGTTTCTTTCTGACGATCGGATGACGGCGATGAAATGGCACAAAGAAAAAGTCCACGAATCGGTCTATTGTCTTCCACAGATAGTGAGAGTGAAAGAGTTGGCCAGGTAAATGTTGCTCCGATTCCGATTTCTGGATATAAAGAGAACTGAGGAATTTCGAACTGAGACACTTCACTGCACGGATTATGGGCAAATTCCTTTCTTTCCAGTGGATTCGCCTGCGTGGCCCACTGATTTAAAAATTTTATTTCGTATTTGATTTCTTTTCATTAACTTTTTCTCTTCGGCTGGCCTGTTGCTCGTGTGTTGGTTATATTGTTGCTGTTGCTGCACTAAACTTTTGGCCCACACACACACACACATTCGCTTTTGGCCACACACAGACACACGCATGCGCGCACGTACCGTTTTGTAAGACGTTTCTCTCTTTTTTCGCTGTCGTCCGCGCAGCTCTTTTCGGGTTCGTTGTCTTCGCCAAACTGAATTGAAGTCTTTCGTTTTTGCCCACTGGAAGTGTCCGCTGCCGGCGTCGCAGTCGCTGTGCTGCCGCTGGAAGTGAATTTTTATGAGGGTTTAAGCTTGTTATTTTTATTTTATTTGGACCGCTGCCTGTTTGTTACTCGTTTTTGGAGTGGTGAGTGGTAACGGTTAACCATGTTGGTAGTGGGTCCTCAAAATAATTGCGCATTTGACAGTAAAATAATTCATCTATATCCTTTCACGTTCGATGTCGTGAAAGTTTGTCTGCAAAAGCGCAAACTTAAATATATATTTCGTATATATATATTTTAAAACCCAATAATAAAAGAATACACTTTTTTTAAAATTTTATTTTACTTTTTAAAAATTCTTAAAAAGTTGTTAAAGCCACTTTTTAAATAACTAATAGATGCAAATAACTATCTTTCTCTCCGTTTTCACCACCTTTTTCTCCAGTCAATTTACTCCTTCCCACACTGCATGTGTTGGATTTTAATTTGCATGTCTTTATTTCTTTTGTTTTTGCGACAACTTTGGTCGAGGTCGTCTGGTTTTTTCTTTTCTACCGCTTTCTGTTGGAGTCTTTTATTAATGCTGCTCCAATATTCCAACCGAAGAGCGCGAGAGCTTGAAAAGAGAGAAAGAAAGAGCGCTGCAGCTAAAATAATTGACAATTACATCCAGTTGCATTCACTGTTGTTGTTGCCTGGAAAGTCGTACTGAGCATGCGCAACATCGGGAGGGCCAAAGAAATGGTATTATTATGAACTACTTACCTATACTCCCATTTATAATTATTCTTATTCATTTAAATATTGAAAGAAAGACTGGAATAAAATAATAATTTAATTTTAATGCAAATTTAATGTTATAAATTATTAATTTCTCTACTTCAAGTCAATAGCAACATTTATTGGTTTTCTACCAAAAATACCTATAGAAAATAAATGGTACCGAAGTACCAGTTCATATTTTTGGTTTTCATTTATTCTCTCTACAGATTTAAAAATGTAAGTTGCCGTAAAGAATTAATGAATTAAATGAAACATTAAATGTTAAATAAACACATTAAATGTAATTAAAATGTAAAAAATTTAGCTACTGTCACATATCTCATTCATATCTTAACCCTAGATCAACAAAATCCGTTCGTCAGCTATGAGAGGTCCATGTCCTTTGCTCATCCTGGTACTTAGACCGAGGAAAATATACCATACAAATAATTACCAGCGCTCCAATAACCCCAATAATACAAATATGTATGAGAAAACCGCAGAGAAAAACCACGTATAAGAAAATACTATTAATTCTTAGTTCAAATTTTAATTCAAAAAACCGGTGGAGTACCCCAATTCTTGGGAAAGTATTTTCTCATTTTCAAACCGAACAATTCGGTAAATACCGTTTCCGGTATGTTTTAATAAATGTTCTGGCATATTTAGTATCATTTGGCTGGCAGTGTGACTTGTTTTGGCGCTACGACTGCGGTCACACTGGTCGTGTGTCGCACAAATAATAAAAGAAAAGAAGGCAGCGAAAGCAACAATAATAAAAATAAACAGCCGTCCCGATAGCTGAGCACAAAAATAAGGTGTACGTAATATAGACAAGCAGGCAAACAAGGCGGCTGTGCGGGGCGGAGGTGAGTAACCGATATTCCAAGATTCCGAGATTCCAACTTTCCGGAACTGGTGTTCGTACGTACCCTATAGATGAGTGCATATATGTGTATATATCTCCCGATAGATCCTTCATACGGGACCGGAGCTGAGTGTGACAATGGGCGCCTGTGTGTGTCGCATGAACCCCGACAACGAGACGATGAGCGTCTCCTCGGCGAGCATCTCGCGTCCGGCCAGTGCAGGTGAGTGGCCTTCTATGACTTTATACTGTCCATGTGATTCCCCTACATCACCCGTTCATCTCTCCTCCACGATAGGCATTGCCATGGGCGCGGCGCGCAAGAACCGACCGCTCTGCCACGAGACCATCCGGTGGCGGTCCGACGTTCCTCTTACAGAGGGCCAGCTGAGGTCCAAGCGGGACGAGTTCTGGGACACTGCCCCGGCCTTCGACGGCCGCAAGGAGATCTGGGATGCGCTGCGGGCGGCCACAAATGCGGCGGAGGGCCTCGACTTTCAGATGGCCCAGGCCATTCTGGACGGGGCCAATGTCTCAGTCCCGAATGGGTGAGTTGACCCCTTGATTAGAGCTCATGTATTTGATTTTTCGGGGCTTCGAAACGTTATCGCAGTATGATTCAATGACTCGGTTATCCAAATATTCAAATAATTCAAGGTCTTAGTTCTAGTCTGAAATTTGTTTGGTTTATATGTTGTAAACACAGTTTTAAGATTTACAACCGACTTCTCAGCTGTTAGTTAGGATTATGCATACAATATACCAAAGTGACTTAAAGAAAATTGACATAATAGTTATTTTTTTATATTAATTTGAAAATATCCTTAAATAGCCTTAAAATTTTAAAAATTATTGACATTAGCATATTTATAAATTGTAACACAAATCCGGCGAGGTCCCTAATGACATAGCATGCTAATTGCCATCGTCTAGAAAATCAATAATGTATATAGAGATTTCACATGGCCATAACTCCATTAATGCATGACAGCGATTTGCTGGTCTCCTTTGCTGGGGACCAGGGGGTATCATAAATTTGTGATGAGCGCTGGCAGCCCCGCAAGTCAGAAATGGAATAGAAATACTGGGGCAAAACTGCTAAAATAGTTGTATCAAAGAAGTGTGTCCTATCATGGAGCTTCAAAAGCCGCATTAAAATACATATAAAATAATATTTGTATGTAACAAATAGTTTATATGAACTTATTTGTTAGCCCTGAATCAGTTTATATTTACAGGAGTATATGTTTATAATTATATACTCCCGCTTAGAGTATTACCACCGTCGACCACAGAACACAATATTTTCGGGCTAACGCTTTTATTAGACATCGATTTTTGACTGACACTCGGACCCCCACTCGCCGCAGACTGTAGACCATATATATTTAAATGCAGCGCTGACCTTTCTATTACTTTTGGCGTTGCAAGCGCCAATGTCCTTGATGGGCGTTCCCTACGTAACTCCATTGTTATCTAGGCCGTTATCAGACTTGGCCCGGTTGGCATTGAATCATTAGCATTAGGCTCAATTGGGTGACAAATTTTTTGGGCTAGCTGGGGATTTTCGATAAGATAATGATAGTAGTTGGCCCACCTGTTCCTGAACTCTGATTTTTTTCCCAGCTACCTTACAGAATGCTACGATGAGCTGGGCACCCAGTATAAGGTGCCCATCTACTGTCTCTCATATCCCATAAATATCGTTAAGGAGGAGAACGGACGCGACTCGCCTGCCGAATACTCTGAGCCAGTGGATGGAGGCACCGAGATCTTTCTGAAACTGCGCATATCATCGACCATGACTGACGTTAAACTGCCGGTGTACTCCAAGGACACTGTGGGGCAATGCAAGAAGAAGCTTCAGGTGAGTTGAATGGCACATCTTATTAATATTGTCTTGTTTAACTTTTGGATATATAATTACAATTTCAAGCAATTGTTCCTTTTATCAATTTTTATTTTATGTTTATCCTTTAAGATTAACTCTTATTTAAATCAAGCAATTTTTATTTAATTTCCAGGCTGCAGAGGCTGTCGATGCTTGCTGTCAGCGATGGTTTTATAGCGGAAAACTGCTGGGCGACAAGGTGCCCATCGACGAGTGCAGCATACACCAGGGGTACGTGGTGCAGGTCATTGTGAACACGGAGCACTACAACCACGACAACAGCACGAGTACGGCGCACGCCAGCTAGCGGCGCAGTCAGCCCCCACTAGTCAAAAGTAATAGAAACAACAAGGAGCCACGACAGCAGCCGCAGTATCAGCAGCAGCAGCAGCAACAACAACTATTGGCTAAAGCGGGCAGCGGCATTCGAAGGAGAAAGAATGCCATATACTCAGTTCATAGCACAAGAAACCTTAAGGGGAATGTACAGCAAACACCGGAGCATCAGCGGGTACAACAGCAACAGTATACTCATTGCATTTATCAAAATAAGCAACAATTGCAAATTGTAGCTCTTTCTGCCTTGTTGCTGTTGCTGTTGTTGTGGCTGCTCGCCTTGTTATGCTTTGTTTAATATATCTATATATAAAATGAGAAACAAAAAGATCGCAACCAATTTGTTGAGAATGGAATGGGAAATGATTATAAGATACATAAATGATACATACTTACGTATATTTTTTTGATAATAATTACTTGATAATAATGCAACTGATTTAGGCAGTTTACAAAGCATATACTTTCGAGTGTATATAGAAGCTGCTATATTGACTATAGTAGTTGAGCTCTTCTCGAATACTTCTCTATTGAAAAATATGTAAATTTTTATAAAAATCAATATGAAAGACGGCCTCTATTAACTAATTGTAAGCAAGTGTTAAAGCATTTGCCTAATGTATATGTAATGTAAAAATAAACAAGAACTGTAGTATTTGGCCGCAATAGAAAGCATGCAACAAGCAATTTTTGATACTGTACAAAATGCCAAGCACAATATTATGAACATGAACATAATTGTGACAAAATCCAGAGAATGCGCAAATTGTTAAGCATATTACTTGCTCAAATGTAGTTAACACGAATGACGGGAACACATTGTGGGAAGAGAGAAAGAGCGAAAGCGAGGCAGGGAGTGGAAGAGTTAACCCAAGTACCTTATAAATGTATATGATTTAATTTGCTTCTAGAGTCAATAATGCATGCAATCAAGAAATTTGAATGAGTTTTTATTTATCTCCCAAGCACATGAATTTCTTGTATAATTTTGTTAACAAATTCGGTATCGTCAAAAGTCCGTTTTAAATGCGTTAAACTACTATAAAGCATTTATTGACGTGGTTCCAAATTCATTAACAATTACAAGGACTAAGAAGGCTGAAAAAAGGCGAAAGTCTTGTTTTTAGTGTTTGATTCAGTAGCAAAAACCGAGTGGTAATGAAAAATCTTTAAAATCAGCATCGCTTTAGTTTTAATAGATTTGTTCTATACTTTTTTTTACATCTCAAACAAAAAATTGAAAGAAACTTTATTAATAAATTAGTCAGTTGATAAGCAAACCCATGACCTTATATATTCCACTGTTGGCGTTGTTTTAAAAATTCTTTACTTTGTATTTTTAGAATTGCCGCGGTTGTTTCGGTGCCGTGAAGACATCCATAATTTGAAACATTTCTGTAACGCACTGCACGAGAGTGTAATTGCCAAAGTTGAAACAATTATTTATAAAAAGCAAATAAAGTACAATTGAATTCTTAGGTTTTCAAATGCGCTACCCATTTGAATTGTTTTTAATATAATTATAATTATCGTGCTAATATACTTATTGGAATCAAAAAATAAGTATTTTTTAGCCTCGAGAATCCATTTTTTGCAGCAAGGTGAGAAACGAAAAAGCAGTCGTAATAGTCTAAAAAATAGATTAATTAAATGATAATCACCGATTTTTGAACCTGATTCCACTGCCACTTCTTTTTAATTATATCGTTGTAAAAAAAGGTAGGAGTGAATAGGAGCTGTTAATGCACTCACCCCTCTGAATCGTTCCACGTTTAGATTGGTTATTTTCCCGGCGGTGAGTTGAAACTGTCTACGGGAATTCAGGATGAAGAATAGATAATCACTGCGAACATCTTTTAAGTGTCGCTGCCAAGGACTTCGCAAAAGGGCCTCTCCACATCGTTGGCTATTTTGGAATACGATGTCTGCGAAATAGCAGATTATGAAGAGCTCAAAGAGTACCAGCAGCAAGTACTGGCCCAGGGAGACCATCCGCATGAAGGAGTTTTCCGAAGTGCTCTTCGTCGAGACAAACGCCACCAAGCACATAAGAAAAGTGACCTCACCGATCTTCACAAACCATATGGGACTATAGAAACGTTCCATTTCTTTCAGGGTCGCCACTATGAAACGATGGTGTTGAATGCAGTGAATGAAGGAGATCCTGAATGCTGTTGCAAAATTCCGTGCCATTTCTGCTGAGGGCTGTGTGAGTTCTTGTAAAGGTGTCTGCTCCTCGAGAGAGTAGGCATATTGACCAGGCTCCGCATCGGACACAGACTGTTCAGCTTCCAATTGCCTGTTAGCATTTATGTAAAATAGCTCAATTTTAATTTAGTATAAAATAAGAGTTGTATTTTTTTATATTTTAATTACCATTTATTAAAAGCTATTATAAAAAGAACGAAAGCAAACTTCGCAAGGCAAAGTTGTTATACCCCTGCAGTTGTTAAATTAAATATTTTTTATATATTTATTTTATGGGTAAGTGCTTAAAAATCAGCGAAGCTACATCGATACATTTTTCGTTGTTTCCTATGACAGCAAAATGATAGGACAGACGGACAGATTTACAGACGTACATACGGACAGAGAAGATCATATAATTTATATGGTCGGAGACCACTCCTTCATTTGACTGAAATTATGTTACCTTCAGCAAGGGTATAAAAATAAATTTTATTGATTTCTAAAAACCCCCTTTGTTCTCTATTAAAGCTCTTACTGAAATCATGTCTTAGATGCAGTGTTCAACTAAGATCAACTCGACCGTTGGTGCTAATATTTAATAATATTATAAAACCCACCGTCAACATATTACGCACCTATTCACAGAAGCTCTTTCTTTCCATATTCATAGAATTAGTGTACTTTAAATGTTTATACTACCTGAGTTCAGCCACATTGGCTCCCATTAGCACATAGCTGGTGGCCAAAACGTTTTTAAGACTGCAAAAGAGCACATCATATTGTCCCGATAAAAGGACACAAAGCACCATATGCAGACCACTGGAGGAGGCAAAGGCAGCCGCCACTTGGATTTGGCCCACCGCCTGAAGGAAGAACACAATCTCATAGACAAATGGTTGCTAAGGAATGTGTATTTTAATTTAATGTCATTAATATATGGACGTTATAACTTACCGTGTAGTCGAAGGGATACCAACAGGCTAGCGGTAGACTTTTATCGCGATAGGCTATGGGAAGCACCAGCCAGAAAATAGTGCCAATATAACACCAGTATACATAGTTCTTGATCCACAGGTTGGCCATCCGATAGGATCCCGCCATAGTAACATAATTGAATCCTACTGCAGACCGTGGCTCATATTCGTCATTAATGTCGGTCAGAATTGCATTTAGCAATCCTGGCCTGAATCGTCGAAAGTAGAGCTTCATGGCAATGGCCCACACATAAATGATAGTTTGAATTAAACAGTTTACGAAGAAGTCCAAGTCGCCCTGTCCGTAGTTTATATAGATGGTACAGATAAACAAACCAGCTATATGCACCGAAACAAAATAGTTAAATAGTTCGTAGAACAGATCCAAAACCCGAACCAGATGCGCCAGGCATCCCGAACCCTTGACGTAATAGCCGAAGGGATACATGGCCGCTATGCACATGGTCTTTCTTACAAATGCAAAAAGGTCTCGACGTTTGCAGTGGTTTGCTTTCTTGTCTTTCTTGGTGTTGCTCTCCATTGCTATCAACACAGTTATACAGGGAAAAACCCTTAAGACCTACTCTTTTATAGGTTAATCATTCCATGTCTCGAATTTTTTAAACTGTTCAATTACATGCCCGCAACTAAATAAACTTTAAATTACATGTTGCAGCGTGGCTAGCAGCTAACACCAATAATGTTTCCTTTGATTGTTTTAAAATGAATAAATGATAAGCACGATATTTTAATATAAGTTTTGCTACGAGAAACTTAGAAACTTTTTTTATGGTGTTTATATATAGGCATTTTAAATTACTTTATTAATAAATAAGATGCCAACTTGAAGTACTATACTATAATAATAGTTAAACTTGGACTCTATTTTATCACATCATAATTTTGGTTAATCATATTCGTTCTTAATAATTTAATAGTGTTCAGTTTTACTAAGGAAATCCTTAACCTAAATCGCCTTTAAAATTATTATTATTAATCTGTATAAAGTGAATTGGTAAGCGATGGCCTCATCTATTTTGGCATACAGACTTTTACTACGGAGTTTGCACACAGTTTGGTGTTGTTAGTTTTGTGAAGTTTGGCAACTGGGCTTTATCCAGCAAAACGCCACTTGGCCATTCAGCCATTCAGACGAGTTCTTCACAATTCCTTAGCTGGCCGGACCATCAATTCCAAATAAACCCTGCCGTCGAGTGAGGAAAAGCGCTTTACATTGAAAGCCAACTGACCATGTCGAGGAGTCGTGACTGCGATATGTTGCCCGCACTTGATTTCGTACGCCGAAATGCGCACACAACAATGGACGGATCCAATATGTCGAAGGAATAAGTCAGCCGGGAGGAATCAGCCATGTTTCCTCTATTCGCCCACTGAAATGCGACACGTTTCCCTTTCCGTTGATCAATGTGCATGTTGCACAAAGTGGCGACATGCGAAAAGTGGAATATGTGGGTCGCCTGTGTAAGTTGGGTGCATTGTGGCAGATGCAATCAAGCATCGGGCACTCACTGCACCACTCCCTCATCCCTCTCCTTGGCCATTATTTTAATGGGTCGTTCGTGGAGAAACGTTTCCTCCTTTGGCACCCATTCTTCACCTACTTCATTGCATGTAGTGACTGAGGGACATTTTCTCTGATTAATTTATTCCTTGATTTACTACAGTGGCGTTGCTATTGTGTTCTATGCGAACAACTATTGAATTGAAAATAATTTAAGATATAAACCAAGTGCTTGTCTTGACAATAAATTCATTTAATCTCAGCTCAAAGTTTTTGTTAATAATTCTGTCTTAAGTGCTGATAGGATAGGATAGGATAGGCTGATTTTATGTTTTTTGGTGGCAATTTAAAATTTAACACATTTTAAACTTCCGATTTCTGCTAGACTTACTAAAGGTCCGAAAATGTAAGAAATTTAGCCTTATAATACTAGATGTATTGTAATGTTACAGGGAAAAGTTAAACTCAAATTTTGACCACCACACCGCCACAGTAAAAGCACTTTGGATTTATTTATTCATTCCTTAATATGCTGTTGGTTCTTTATTATTGTAATTACTGCAATGTACTGGTGATATAAAGATAGATTAACAATGGATTCTGGCGAGAGAATGAAGCAATTAAGCAAGAGTCATGCACACGAGCTTGGCCTAATCAAATGAGCGGCTAATAAAAACGGTTAGACAAGCTGGGATGAGGTTCACTGGAGCAGGACATGGATCCCTTGGTCCTAGTCGATGTTCAGCTGACGGAAAGTGCCCTCCATGCCGAACAGATCGTCGCTGGTCTTGGGGGCGCCGGGGCGCAGGGACTCGTTGGCCTTCTTGTCCTCCTGGTCCTTGAACCACTGGGTGTTGTCCACCAGCTTCTGCTTCCACCACTTGTTCAGCTCCACGACGCCGCCGGCCTTGCCGCCGTACTCGTTGGGCAGGAGGTCGCGGGGCACCACCTTGTAGAGGCTCTCCACGTCGTTGTGGAAGGTGATGCGGCTGCGGATCTTCTCCTTCACGAACGGCTTCACGAAGTTGAAGATGGTGTCCACCAGCGGCGAGATGTTGATCACGTGCACCTCCTTCACCTTCACCGGGTAGGCCTCCTGCACGGCGATCAGGAACTTCTTCACCACGGTGGGCGAGAATTTGGCAAAGTGGGCGGCGCTGGCCACCGAGGCGTCCAGGATGAAGATGTCGCCGGCAATGCCGACGCTCTCCTCCGCCAGGCGCACGTCCCCGATCATCAGGGCCACCTTCATGGCGTCCAGGATGTGGTGTGGCTGGAAGTCGCAATCGATGCCCCGGATGAACGTGATGCGGCGGCCGTTGGGCGTGATTCCTGGCAGAGTGGGGCAGTGCCTGTCAAGAAATGTGTTTATATTTTAGTAGGTTAAACTCTTTCAGTATGTTCGCTTTAAAGAAATCAACAGTCTATAAGGTAATTTGAAATGTACATGTAGTAAATTTAAGTACTAACACATAGTCCAGCACGATGTTGAGCTCCTCGCGATTAATGTCCCGGTTGGAGAAGAACTCGGGCACCGCGTTGCGCATGGTGTAGTACATGTCCAGCTTCTTCTTCACCTTCTCCAGGCTGAACTTGCAGCCGCGGAGGAAGGTCGTCAGGCGCATGTCGTCCATGTCCTTGGGCAGGTGGGGCTGCGTCTCCAGCCACTCGCGGATCAGCTTGATGTCGCGCTCAATGTCTGCTGGGTCCTCAGGCTCACGGAGCTCCTCGCGGATGCTCACGCGCTGGTCGGGTGTGGGGTGTAGCATCATCATCTGGGGATGGGAATGAGATCAGAAGGTATTTCTTTTAATATATTTTATAATTGTAAAGTTCATTTTGTAAACTTATACTTTTAATGTGCCACCCAGCAAAATCAAGTACTTAAAATAAATAAATTCGGCAAGGGTTTCAATAATCCAAGACGTACAGACATACACAATTTCGTTGATTGTCAAACACTTTTGCTATTGTGAATATCAGATATTAAACTCGGTTTGACCTCTCCATTAAGTCATGCTTTGAGTTAAATATAATAGAGTTTTGCTGTCTCTGTAAAACAATAAAATTGCAACCCCCAATTCTTCGCTGGCTGTTTCGCCACACTTTATAATACGCAATACGAAATAATCAGATATTTTTGACATTTTAATTGCGCGCTTTCAAAACGTTGCTCGTTCGTAGGTCTTGCGGTCACACGTCACTGCGCGGATTCATTAGCATGGGCTGTGGCCAAATATGCATTGCTTTGGTCCCGCCCTGCCGCTTTCCCTCCCCGAACGGGGGTACTTAGAGCTGGGGGCAGAGGGCCAAAACAAAATCAGCTGACATCGACCTCAAATAATGTTCATGGCCCTTCTGTTTTGGACGATCTGCCTGGCCTTACTGGGGAAATATGTATTTGTAAATACCGCGAGCGAATAAATAATGGTAATGTGAGTTTATTTAAACGAAGAAAAGTGACTTGGAGATAGTCTTGCTTTCAAGCTAATACAATAAACCGTTTTATAGTATATTGCGGCTTAAGCGTTCGCTGATTTGTTTGCGCCGATTGGGGCGTACTTTTGGCTCTGCCTGTTTGTTTACTTTTGTTTATAAATCCTACTTAGTGATGCGTAAATTGTTTTTTTGTCATGAGGTAACTGACATTTAAAGTGGGGATGACTGATTATATTGGCCAAAGATTAGGCTCGATTTGATTTAACAATATTAGGCCTTTGCACAGAAAAGTCAAGCCAAACAAATGGGCTATTTGCGAAACCTCAGACTCAGAGCTCATTGGGGTCAAGCAGAGTTGGTCAGAGGAAAAGCTCTCCAAATGAGCCAAAGTCTGAGGGGGGAATTGATAGAGCGCCAATATGCTGCACATGCCGCAACCAGCTTCAAATGCAACAACAATTGCTGTTGCAGTTGCAACCAGCAACCTGTTAGAATTGCAATTACCGCCGGTCGATTGGAGGAGGCTCGGCCACACACAAATTGCCGTGTGTGCACACTCCTATGGTTTTTGTTGCTGCACTAATGGCCGCTGCGGCTATTGCAAATTTTTCATCTTGCCTGCGCCTCTATTGCAAATATTGCGAAAATCTTCAGCAAAACAAAACAACGCGAAACACAACGATTCGAAAATCAAGCGGCCAAGATTCAAGAAAAACGGGCAGAAAACGGGTTTTATTAACTTATTTTTCTGTTTTTGGTCGTTTGGCTCCAGTTAAAGTGCTTTCGGTTTTGGTCTCTTTTGGCTTTTGTCTTTTGCTCCTTCGTCTTAGCAGCCCTGTCTCACTGTAGACCATTTGCTGGCATTACAATAATTCTGTTTGCTTATTTGTTTTGTAATGCTATTTCTTGAAGAATTTCGGCAACGATTGTGGGTTGCGTTAAGTGGTTTAGGAAATGGTTTGTAAACAAGAGACTTACAAGAAAAACGTGTGATGAGCTTTAAATGTTGAACATAAATTATACTTAGTTGTTCCGAGTATTTAAGTTTATACGAAAATATTTGAAGTTATTTTGAACTGTTGGGTCATAACACTATGTTAGGATGTTATGCGTAGTTTATATTACTTTTTATAATGCATAAGATTTTTTAAATATTATATATATTCTAGTTTCATAACATAAGATTTTTAAATATATATAGTTCGTTTTTATTTACCAAAGATCTACATTTTAGGAACAAAACATCTTTGAAATAAAATAAAATTTGGTAATTAAGGTCCTAGCTTTTAAAGTTGGATTATATCAAAAAGTTTTTTTAATTGTGTTTTTATTCAATATGCAAACGTCAATTTATTCCCTTTAACAGTCTCGACCAATGAACTCTATTCCTTATCGAATATTCTGTTAACATTCCGAAAATATTTTCTTAATTTTATGCATAATTTAAAGGTGCCAACGACCATTGTTGGACCACATCAATCGCCTTTGTCATTACCCGCTGGCATTCAAACTGAGTTATTCGCACAATTTCAAGTCAACTTATTGTTCCCTTGTCAAATTTATTGCTCTTCGTTGGATGGTGCACAAAAATCCTCAACATCTTTTGTATTTCTGAAATGCAGCACATGATTTGCACACTTTATCGCGAATATTTTTCGACGCACTAATTTAAATTCCGGCATTGTCCTATGTCAACTGTCCAAAGAATGGTAAATTCCACAAATTGGGCTGAGGTGCGTATGGGATGGGAATGCTCACCTTGGTTAGAATGAGATGGTTAGTTGGTCAGAGGTAATCCTTTAGGTAGTATATCCAACGGATAACGCGGCGTATGATCAATGGCACACAACCGAAGCGCTCAAGACGTTAACGAAAACTGAATGTCTGCAAACACGTTTCGCAGCACTTAAATACTCGACGACTCCGAAAACGAAAAGTGACGAAGACAGCCGATCGCTGGTCGGGCCGTGCGATAAAAGAAAACCGAAAGCCGTAAAACAGATCATGCCATGAAAATCGGTCAAAGAGAAAAATGCACGCGCCGGCTCCTCGGAAGGGGAGGGGAGGGGCGGAAAGGAAAGGAAGTCGGCGGCTGGCCATTTGCGCAAGATGGGTTCAATGAGCGGCGCGGACTATCCACGCTCCACCGCCGATTGTCCAGATATAGCGATTCCCGTCAGGCGTTACCAGACCCCAGACACCAGGCTCGAAATCATCCCAAAGCCCTGGATCTTTAGAACTTGGATTGGCGGAAGTTCGTGTCCTCAGTCTTTTGTATTGCCTAACCTCATACTTTCGATATCATCCAAAATAGAAGTTCGTGTCCTCAGTCTTTTGTTCAACCCCCCCAAAATCATCGAAAACCAAAGCTCGCGGCTCATTGTCTGATGTTCTGCTGCAGCGGTGTGAAAAGCTGATTGCGCCACGCCCCCTGAAACCAACAGTCACACATCGAAGTGCGTGCCAAAAGTAAGTTATTAACTTTCGAACGCGCGTGTGTGTGGGCCAATCTATCGGCTCGGGATTGCATTAGGCGCTGCTTTGCTGAAATGATTTCTGTCATAATTGTTTCTTTATACTTTTTCGACATTTCCCAAATTAAGCAATTTAGTGCACAGCACATGGAATTGGCGTTGGATTCGCCGTCGTGCCTCTTACCAAGCAGCTGCGAGTCGTTGAACTTGTCGGCCGTTTCCTCATTTTCATTTAAATGAAAATGAACATTTTCCATAACTTTGTCTTGGTTCGCATTGCGTTTTGCTCGTGTTGCTTTTATTTTCCTTTTGCCTTTTTGGTCGGTTTTTATTGTTCCAGCTAGCTGATTGCTAGCAATTATCGCCGCCCGTCGCGGGGGAAGGGGCTGCTGGAGGGGGCGGAGGATTCCGACTTTGACTTTGCATGCATTGAACTTGGCTTGCCCTTTTTCTAAGCCAAACAATGCGAGACGCGGCCAATGTGGCAATAAACATCGAGCTGAATGCAAAAAGTATTACCAACTTACCAAAGCGGGGCCGACGTCTGTGCAAAGAAAAGTTAAGAAATCGATATCGGCTGATTCCCATAATTTTATACCTAACATTAAAGACTCTTTTGCTGAAGTGGAGTATTAAAGTAGACCTAAAGATCAATGTCGTTAAAAGAAGTAACATGTGTAGGTAATTTGTTTGTTAAACTCGAAAACGGATTCACATAAAATTATCCTATTTGTTTCGGAACAATGTTTAAGTTAAGCAACTGTATACAGTTTATAAACGAATAATACAAATTGTTTATATTATTTTCATTGTTGGCACAATATAGATCATCCTTTACTTGTCCTATTGTATTAGTATTTAATATATATTATTATTATATCATTAACAATATATCAAATTGAGTTACTTAGTACTCCTGCGATAAAGTTTACGCTCGCCATCCGCCGATTTTATGACTTCTTTGCTCTGCTAATTTTACTTTATAAACATTTAATTGTGTTCGATCGCAAATTATGTGCTAGTGTTTCTCTAATAATTCATAAGTTTATGTAACGAAATGATTACAATTAAACCTAGCTTTGTTTTGTTACTTCATTAATATAACTTTTAATTGTCTTTTAATGATGTAACTATTTTCTGTAAAACTTATTTATAATAAAAATTTAAATAACACACATTCATGATTCCAATTAATTGTTTCGAATTATAAAGATTCCATTTGAGTCAAAACAATGCATTAGAAGTATTTTTAAATCAAACCCCACGAAATTTTGGTAATGTCTTTACACTTTTGCTATATAATTAACAAGTTAATATCATGTCATTACTTATTTAATAACTAAGACTAGTCGAAATCAATTGGAAAACGGCTTGACAACAAGCGTTCAGTCATGCACAAATTTTAAATAAAAACGTGTAAAGTTATAATTTCAGTATTTATCTGAATAGTGGAACTAATGCTCGAAAAATGAACAACTAGTCTTTCTTTTGAAAACGGGAACTCCAACTGAAAACTATGTGCGAGTGGACTCGTTATAATTATGATATGTAGTTGATAACGGGATCAGGGCAGCTCGAAATAAGATGTATTCTTACATCACAAAATCTGGCTTGCTGAATTCAATATTATGGAAATATTTAAGAGCTAATTTCGTGAACGCATCAATTTCTCCGTTACTCATTGACACCAAGAAACGACAATTGCTGCAGAAGAGTAGAGTTATGTAAACCAAACAGGTAACGTACTTAGGGCTCTATAAAAATGCCATTAAGAGAGTGGAGCGAAATGTATGGTATGTTGATATGTTAATGACTCCATTCGTGTAACGTTATATTAAAAACCCGAATAGAAATCGCACCGCCGATTGACAAATGAGGCTGAAAAATTCGCATAAATTACTAAAACTGCAGACAAGAACAGGAAGATGTTGCTGCCCTCCTAGTGGCCCCAAAAATAAAACAAGACACGAAAGAAAGAAAACTAATTAAACCATAGACTTATAAATTAAGTAGTTTTTGTAGTGGCTGTTGTTGCATTTCCAAAGTCAAGAAACTTTCATTGGCAGACGAAAGTGTGCGCAATAAAGAAATTAACAGTAAGAAGCAGTAAGCTGGGAAGGGGTCTGGTAGTCAGCAGATACTTCTACGCTCCACCTCATCTTACCTCACCTGGCTCACACTCTTGGCGCAATTTTAGTTATAGTCACTTTTTGTTCGCTTTTCGTTTTTGTTTTATGAAAGCTGCAAGAAATAAAAACTTCGGCCGAATGTACAGAGCGTGGCCGCATTAAAAGTTCGCGTTGTGAAGCGTTTTCTTGTTGTTGGTTCAAACTCAACTTGTAGCGGAGTCAGACAGCCCAGTTGGGCAATTTGGAAAACCATAAAGTGCGCTTTCAAAACGGCAAAATATAGGAGAGGTAAATGGAGCTAAGTATGTGGAGATCCACACTCGAGAGTGCGATTCGGAATAACACTTTTGCCACATTTAATTGCTCGCTGCAACTGTGGACGATTGCTAACAGTTGCTTCTGTTGCTCCAACACTTGCCAAAACTAAAATAGCCCAACAGATTGGATTTAAAAATTCAAATTAAATTAAGTTCGTTTTGCACATCTGCCGAGAAAAACTGCGAGCATGCAAGTCAGTGATGCGTAAAACTCGCCGTCTGGGCCATTAAATTCCACACTTATCATGTGAACAGCCCCGATAATTATTGAATTATAACTAATTGATGAAGTCGCTATAGCCATCTCTTGTATTCAAAGCTAAATATTAAAATATTTTCTTGCAAATGAAAATATTTAAATCAATTACAATATACCCTGTTACTCTAACGAGTAACGGCTACATTAAAAGAAAACATATTATTCGAATATTATTCACCCTTCATCATTTCCCTTCAAAGTCTTGCATTTGCACTACACATTTATTTGGTTTGCATCTTGAGTTCACATTGAAAGCTCTATACGTGTACAAAATCGATAAATATTTGCAGGCTTCTATTTGCCCCAGTATGTTTCCATGTTGCCCCTCGAGGTTCGCTTGTCGCTGGTATAAAATATATAATTTGCGTTATAATTGCTCTACAATATTGCTGGTTGCACAGAGGTGGGGGCGGTGTATGGGCACTGTGACTGGGCGTTTGGGGGGTTGGTTTAGCACGCTGGCTCCTTGGCATTCGCTTTCCTGGCACAAAAAATCTGTAAACTCCACTGGCAGCTCACTTGAGCTGCACCAGCACCATGAAGTAGGTGACAACCGCACCGAGAACCTGCGAATCAGGGAAAGTTTAAGTGCATTTAGATTAATTTTTAATAATTTTTTTTAACAATAAATCAAATGCCACGCACCGAGGCAAACAAGTCCAAGGAAACGGTGAAGAACTTTGCCCCCGATATGCTCATAGCCTTCTGGCACTGCTGGCACACGATCTGGACGAAGGTCTTGGCCTCCTCGGAACCATCGTACCAGTGGCACGAGTAGGCGGCCTCCATGACAGACGAACTCTGGAAAATGCAACAGTATTATCAATCTCTTTGTAATGAAAATGGTTCCCTCCATCATAAGTTGAAGAGGCCTTAACACAGTTGAAATTTACAATTCAGATCAGTTCGGAATAGATATAAACACATATATATCACCATTTAATTTTTAAAATTTAAGTTATAAAATACAAAAATAGGAAAAAACTGAACTAAATCCGACTGTCTAAAGGGTCAATACATAGAATAGTTAATCTCAAGTCAATAGAACTCTTATTTGATTACTAATGTTATTCCAAAGTTAAACCAAAAATCAAAAAGCCACTTTTAGTTTTATTACTCTAGTTAACAGACTTTTGGCTTAAAAAGTGAAATATTTTATCAACATGAATTTTTAAAAAAAGTAGTTCAAACGAAACAAAAATATTTCTATAGCCCTTTGCTTAGAGCCCGTATTTTTGAAAGCTCACCTCCTCAATCAATCGATTGCCAAAGATGCAGAAGTGAAACACCTGGGCCAAGGCGTAGCCCAGGTACCCGACGACTGTGAAGGCGTAGACGTTCACTCCGTTGATTTTGGTGGCTTGGTAGGCCAACAGGGTCAGCTTGATGGTCGAGGTCAACATGTGCAGCAGAAGGGCGGCTCCGTACGTATCACCAATGGCAGCAACCAAGCTGTGAGGAGGGGGAAATTTGAAAGGGGGACGACAACAGGCAATACTCGAGTCAATATTTTGATCAACAACAGCTCACACAAATAGCTAAGCCAATTGTTGGGCAGGACAAACAAGGCCATCACTCTAGGGGCCCTCAAACAATGATTGCAACTGGGGAAATAATCAAATAAATCAAACAAGCTGCAGGGATTTGTCCACGCCTAATCAATGAACACAGTTGTTTTAAAAATTGTTTTGAAAGCTGGATTTCTAGTCTGATAGCTTTTAACGCTCAAAAAGCCAACTAGCATTTAATAATTTAGAGACATTCATTTGGTTTTTAAATGCAAAAAAAAGGTATAATAATTAATAATAATTATACACTAAACAAAAATATTTTAACATGCAAAAATGCAGAAAAATGTGGAAGGGTTTTGAAAATGTTTAAAAAGTTTACGCCTTGAACTTTAAATAGAAAGCTGGAAGCTTTAAACAGTACTTCGATTTTTTTGATTTCAAGAGCATATTCCAATTCGATTCCATGTATAATCAAGTGTCTCTGTAAACTCTTCAACTGGATGCAATTAGTTTTAAGTCCCAGGCCTTTTGTGGTCAGGTGTGAGTCATACCGCACAACCCATGGAAGTCACCCAGTTGCAATCACTGGACATGGCTTTCCCCGCCCACCACTCATCGTCACTGCAGCCAGAGTCCCCTTCAAATAGTCGGTTAAATTTGGCAAGGATTTGAACTCACCGCACCACGTGCTTGTGCCGCTCCACCCAGTACTTGATGGCACTGCGCACCATCATCTCCTGTTTTTTGGTCAGGCCATTGGGATTAGCCCCGTTCACCATCCCGTTGCCACCGCCCCCATTTCCGCCGAAGGACTGCAGCGTCGAGGGTGCTCGAAACTGGGCGCCCCAATCCGCTTTCGAGCTGTAGACGCCCGACATGTCCATGTCGGTGGCGGGGTCCTTTTCTGTAATTAAAATACAGCTCGTCATGACGCGTTTTACACGGTTTATTGATTCACTAACATGTACTTTAACGAAAAGTGATTTTGGTCATAACTCGATTAAAATTATTAAAAACCCTCAAATTACACAGATACAAAGATTTTTGTAATGTTAAACTATCTATATATTTTGGACAATATATTGCCTTAATTAATAAACCAAAAGTTGCCTTTGCTTCGGCCTGAGCAATTTACAAAAGCATTTATATTCCTTTAGCTTTCGATTACAAAGTTTTCAAAAGCAAACTTCGAAGTTGTAAGATATATCAAGTATATCTAGTTTTAACTGGTTGAAACTGACATTTTGATTTTCAATCTTTTTTTGAAAACATTTTGAAACCCCATATATAAAAAGAGGCAAAAGGATATATTTAATTGTTAAGCTATTGCCCTAGACAAATATTGTGAAATATAGATGATTTTAATGACTATAAGTGGATGCTAATTAGAGAATGCGATAGGAATTTAATAAATAGTCATTATTTCGGATACAACATTTTAAATACCAAATGCTGGAAAACATTAATATTTGCAAACTTTGATACATACCTTCGTTGTGAATGAGCTCCGACTTGGAATTGGCCGATAAAGACCTGAAAAGGGCCGCCGAATTCGGCCTGTAGGTGTCCAGAGAGGCCGATAGCTCCATCAGGGGCTTCATGATGCCCTTCAAGTGCTGCAGCTGCTCGCAAGCAAAGATTAGCCAGGAGCAGAACATCACGTCGCACAGGTTCGAGTGGATCATCGAGAAGAGGACGTAGTAGATCTGAAAGGCGAAGCTGATCATGTAGAACAAGCCGTGGCTGGCGTTCCACGGATAGAAGGACTTGATCGGGAGCCGCGGTATCTCCACCGGAATGCTGGAGTTCGTTTCATGGTCCACCACCATCTTGACGCTGTCCCCGAAGAAGGTGATCGTGGTCCAGGCGGTGGCCGATGCCACGGTGGTCAGCATCACCAGAAAGAACAGCTTCCGCATCTTGGCCAGGGCGATCGAGTGGTAGCGAGCATCCGATTCGGCGAACAAGGGATGCGTGTTAACCTGGTTCCAGATATTCAAGGTCCTGCGCAGGGAAACATAGAGTTGTTTACTCATACTTATATTGGTAGGATAACTCTTTTTATCTTTAATAATATATTTACTCTGTATCATACATTGCAATTGGATTTCCATTAAATTTTACCCGCTTAAAAATATTAAACTTGATAGGCTAACTATTAGATTAAAAAATAATTTTTGAATTGTTATAACTATTTCCTAATTAAATATAAATAAGAATTGAATTTGAAATTATTGATATTTTTATTTATCCCTTATTTTATTTTTTTTATTTTTTTTTATCCCTTAATAAAAACTCTTTGAAGTGAATAAACCTTAGACATATTGTAGACAAATAAAAATATTTGGCTTAACGTGATTAGTTCCCATTTGTGGCTCACCTGTAGAAATTCTTCTGGTTGACAGCCAAGTAGATGAACTTAGTTATGCAGTGGGTGAAGAACAGAGTGGTAATCGTGTTGCCCGACAGCTCGTTCACCTCCTCGGCGTTGAGGGCCATGTTGACCAGGATGAAGGCGAACTGCATCAGCAGGAACACCAGGTGCACCGAGGAGTACACCTTCTTCATGAACGCACTGCCGCCCGTGAAGTTGTGCATAAACAGGCCCGAGTACTTCATCGCCCGAATATTGGGCATCAAATCGGCCACCAGGCCCGTATACTTGTTCGGCTGCATCGAGGTCGTCATTCTATGGAGCAGCGGAAAATAGCACGACAAAATTAATTGGGTTTCGCCAATATAATTAGCAATTATTGCTAATGGATAAAGTGATGGTGGGGCGAAAGTGAAATCTTTCCCAGATTCCGTCTGTGTGATTGGGCCTTGGTTTTGTGGGTGATGAAGAATTCCTGTTCGAAAATTAATCAGTTTCGCATGTTTTATTCATACACGTATTCTGCGCCGTTTTAATAGGTCGTTTATTTAGTGCTCGTTTAGCTTTCAGCCAATATTAAACATTTAAACATTTCTCTTAAATTGCTATGAAAATGGTGAATGTGAATTTCATAGCTCGAATTTGGGTTGGAAGAAACTTTTCTGGTGCAAAAGTTTTAATCGAGTTATTAATTATTTTGATACGTATGCTAGCTAATTGTATATCAAATCAATTTAATTGTTTTTGCAACACACACTTATTTAAATATAATTTTATATTATAAAGAGTTCGCCAAAAAGATTGAAAATGTGTCTATTAAATTTACTTTAAGCTTAAATTTTAGCACGGTAATAATTTAATAAAGTTTATTGCAAAGTTTACGCTAAACAGTCTTAGTTTTACATTTAAAGATCACAAGTTTACCTTGCTGTTGTATCTTAAGATATGCGATTGTTATCTTGCAAACGCTTCTAAACTGAGTGCAACTTAATGCGCGTTTAGGTAAACATTTCACTCACTTAGGCAATACCGGAATAACTTAATTTATTACAAGTGTTTAAAAAACCAGGACAAAGTTAACCTGCCAGCAGGGCGATTTCGACGTTAATGAAATGTGAAATCTGGAAGGTTAACAAGCTCTGCCAGGCGAGTGATTGCTCCTTTCGTCTACTAGGTGGTTGCTTGGCAGTACATAAGGACGTGTACTTTGAGGGCAGAGTTCCCACGGCTGCAACAAGGCCACGTTCAGTCGGAGCCCTGAAACTTTCACTCCGACCCACACATGATAATGAAAGTATATGGGTCTCGGGCCTTCGAACCGCCTTGGAGTACTTAAAAATTCAACTTTTTAGCCACGTCCATCCATGTGATGGGTGCGTGGCAGTCGCCGAATTCCCACAATTAAGTCGAACGCCCACGAACTTGCCGACCGCCACTGCCGCGTCTCCAGGTCTAGGACTCAGGTCTTACCCTGGCCCTGTCTACGCGGCGTATGCGCAATGGGGAAATGGGATATGGAAATACGCTCCTCTGGCTCCTCTTGTGTAGCATCTGTGGTATCCGAACTTATGCAAATTTTAAAAGCATCGATTATTTTATTATGCCTGTTTGTATTTGTTGGCCTTAAGTGCCGACGAGACGTGGGGGAGGGGCACCCCGCACCCAACCGCTGCCACGGGGCCTTCCCCAAATCGCTGACCCAAAAAATAACCTATATATACCCATTTGCATGGAAATGTGTGTGCTCCGCCTGACGGATAGTTCCTTGTCCTCGTTCATTTTTTCATTCTCAGTTCGAAAGCACCAAGGCTTAATAGGCGCAGGAAGACAAATCAAACACGATATCATCGGAAACTGGGCTGTAGAAGGTAACAATCACTTTTGTTTGTTTTTAAACATCGGTTCAACAAAAAACTTTTTTTAAGCCACAAATTGGTAAAAGATTAAATGGAAGAATTTAGCTCGGGAATGACATAAGTTATTAAATAACATTTAAGAAAAAAAGGAAAGCAAAATTATTAACATACAATTTTAAATTTTAAACTTCTTGCTGCTTAATAAATAATTAATATTTTGTGATATCTAGACAGATTATTAGCCCTTTACCCTTTAAAGCAATTTTAAATCAATAACGAGGGGTGTGATATTCCCTAATGCACCTAATTATAAACAAATTAACCTTGTATTTATCATACCAAATTTATTGATTTCTTTCCTTACAAAGTTGTTATGTTAATTATGCAATAAGTGTATGTATATTTCTGAAACTGTAAATAAACTTCGCAAATTTAATCTATCAAGAGTTTTCGAAAAAATAGATTTTTTGTACTAAAAATTAATGTTATGCGTTGAATGTGTGTAAATTAACTTTCTCCTTAGTGATTCGGTTAAAAAAATGTATTTTTATTTAATTACAATAACTTTACTTATCACTAACATTTCATAGGTTGCTTTTAAAATAGTTCACTGCTCCGATCTTATACTTAATTCACTTCTATTGGTCTTATTCTTTCGGATATCAAAAACGGACTGCTGCATTTGGGCTGAATGATTAATAATCAAACCTCGGCTTAAGGGATTTTATCTTTAAAAATTGATTAAGAGAGTCGGCAAAATAGGATGATGAAATTTGGCAATTAAATCTGAAATCGAGATTCTGCCGGAAATCGGTGTTTACATTATCGAGCTTCGAGGGTCGCTTTGGGGCTCCGATGTTTAGAATATCGGCTGAGGATGTTTACTGAATCCGTTCAATGCGGAGTGTGAAATGATATGGGTGGGAACCACTCGAAGGCGTAGTTGAATGAAATAGCTGACTACGGGTTTATCTCGGAGTCAATTCTGAATTATTTGGAAATTAGGCTGGGCTCAAAGTTGTTTATAAATCGGGTAAGTGGCCCTAAGTAATGTGTTATATAACTTGTATGAATTCTTGTTATGCTAACTGACAACTTTTCTCGAAGCTATGTTCTTGGAAGGATAAACATTTTTTGGAGAACGTATAACTTAATTACGATTTTAAAAATTTTGAAAATATATTTTTTTAACAAGGTAAATTAAAAAAAGTAGGAAAGTAATTTTATGTAATGCCTATAACTTTCTTAATTTTGTGATGAATTAGGTATGTTCTCTAGAAAATATCATACGTTTTAAGAAATGTTAATTATTTATTTCAGTTTACCACAAGAGGCTGCAGAGTTGAGTTCGGAGACGATTTTCCTTGAGCAGAGGTCGACGAAAGCCGACATTTTAAATTTCGGCATAATAAAAATATCAATATGTTTATAAATAATAAACCCATTTGACAATTAAAACTGAATGTTCCTTTGTCATTTCATTATCCCTCAAAAAATTCTTAAGCTTCGATGTATTTTCAACTAAATCTAGAAGCTATAAAGCACACACTGTAGGGAAATGGTATCAAAAAATAATACACAACACAAAACTTTTAAACAAGTTATTGGAAATAAGTTTCTAGCCATATTAAAATGTAGTCAACGTGCCAGGATCACAAAGCACTTACTAATACGATTACATTTACTGAAACGCAATTGTAACTATGTGCCGGGATGTAAATGCGAAATGTGTTCAGAGTTTGCTGGTCATGCAGTAACCAGCAAACAGTTATTTTACGGGGCTCACATGGCTTAAAACCCGTATACATAGATGGGAGTCCAGACACAGATGTGTCAGCTCATGGATTATTTAAATGCAGGCGACTCACGAACACCAATTAATACGTGAATGTTCGCCAGTGTGGTCTGCTTTTTTTGTGTGACGGGATTTAACAATATTGATTTAACGTTTAATTGGCCTGAACTCATTCATGCTAACCAAGTTCCCGCATGATATTTCCCCTTTTAGGTCCTTCTTTTTTGATGATTTATTTTTATGGGTTTCTGGCTGAAAATTTAATTACGCAGATGCGTTTGGCTCAATTAGCTAACCGCGGACATCGTAGGCCCTGCAGTATTTTACCATTAATTATGAGCAAATTTCAAATGACCAGTGGCACGTACTTAATTTCAATTACAATTTAAATGAATAAACTAATGGGGCTTAATTTTTAAAATTCCGTTTGTTGTGTGCACTGCTTTTAATACATAATTAATTAATTTAATTAATAGTTTTGTTTAAAATGTTACTTTAAACATACATATTTGTGAAAAGGGATATCTTTATATACATATTATTGCGGGAATACCACTTTGAAATTATTTAAGATTAATTTAGTGGCGGCCATTACTCATGATTTGCCCACAAATATAGGCAACACTTTTTGCTCACGCACCTTAAGTGCCACATTTGGCCAAACGAAATCATTTCCATTATGGCCATGAACGGACCACCTAGATCTCCTTGATAGGCACCCAAAAGAACAACACTTATTTATGACATGCCACGAACAACAGCAAAAGCAACCACAAGTTGTAAAACAATAAAAACTCAAAAATAAACATAAAAAGTTATTTGTGCAATCCATCAAATCGGTCATAAATTACGAAATCAATGCGACACACACGCACACATAATAAAAATTCGCTTTCCCGCACACTCAGAAACAAACACCGACACATTCATGTGGAGCAAAGATTTTTTATTAAGCCTACGAAGGAAAAATTAGAAATCAATACGGAGCGAGGACAGAAAAATCTGTTAAATGACAAACAAAAAATGGCGAAAACAACAATTGGTTACTGTGTGTACGGGGTCCTTTCCTTTTTTGTGCCTGTGTGCGAATGTGTCAGCATCAGAAATTATCCGCTTTATTTTCGGACTGCCGTAGCCCTCGACCTAGAGAAGCTTTTACCAAAATTTATGGCTATGCATAACCGACAAGAGAAAACAACAACCGATTGAAAATACATATATGTAGGTGCGCGTGGTTTGTGTGTGCTCTTGTCAGGCCATTAGAGAAGCAAAAGAAATGTTGACATTGTCATAAGAATGGCAACGAAATGTGAGAAATGCGGACAACAACGGACTGGCACAGAAAAGCGCAAGAATTATTATTATTTATTCCCGAGTTTTATAAGATTTTGGGAAAGAGGTGTCGGGCGCTCATAAATTCTATCCGTATATTTTGTAAATAACTGCACTGAGAGAACGGTACAGTATTACAGTTGAGAATTAAAATAAAAATGAAATGGTCGGTATATGCTTTGTAAAACACCAACGACACAAAGAATTTTAAAGATTTTATGAAATAAATATTTTTTGCTTTGGATTCTTTATTCGTATAAATTGTTTCTGAGGCCATCTAAATGAGACTTAGCTCTATACAATTTTATTTATGCAACTGTGATATTATTTTTATTATAAAATATTTTTCCCCGAATATAAATCTTTTTACCAAGTTACATCAAAAACGAAATCTTTTATTATTAAGAAAATAATCTAGAAATTGTGTATTTTTATTACCATAAAAAACATAACTAGAAAAGAAAGCTAACTTCGGGCGGATCCGAAGTTGATATGCAGAATATTCTGTAAATTATATTCTCCAAAATTATTCATATGATGCATTCTTAATACTCATAAAAAACTTTAAAAACTCCAAAGTTATGGCATTTCCGATCAATCAGTTATATGGCGGCTATAGTATATAGTCGGCCGATCCCGGCCGTTCCGACTTATATACTGCGTGCAAAGGAAAGAAGGGTGTGTGCAAAGTTTCAATTCGATATCTTTAAAGCTGAGAGACTAATTTGCGAAGAAACAGACAGACGGACAGACGGACAGACAGACGGACAGACGGACATGCTTATATCAACTCAGGACGCGATCCTGATCAAGAATATATATACTTTATAGGGTCGGAAATGTCTCCTTCACTGCGTTGCACACTTTTGACCAAAATATAATACCCTCTAGAAGGGTATAAAAAGGTAAATATTTTGTACTCTAAAGTTATTTCTCTCCGTGCACTTGTGCGAGTGTATATGCGACTGTGTGTGAGAGTGTCACTCCTTTTGTTGGCCGCTGACAGGGCAGACAGGGCAGACAGATTCCAACCGGAAGTCGAGGGAAGCGGAAGGAAATGCCTTCGTGGCTCCTTGCCGAGACAGTGTCAAAAGTTTAACTCTAGATTTATTTGCCCTTTAATGCCGTTACTCCCATTCCCGTGCAAGGGAGTTATAAATCTCTCAGCTGTCTAAGCAGGTCAATGCTCAGGCCAACCTCCGACAAAGACGCTGCATTTGCCTTCTCACACTGCAATTGCAGCCCCTCCAACAACACCCCTGCCAACATTCAGGACCAGTTTGTTTGTTTGCTGCCTGCCACAAAGTTGTCAACGCGGCAACTAAACGAGTTTGGGTCTTGTGGTGTTCTATATGGGTATGTAAGTGTGCCTGTTTGATGGTGGGATTCCTTTGTTGTCCTTCTGCCCGAAATATGAAGTTGTTTTGCCCGCAAATGAGCATGCGCGAGAAGAGTGAAATTTGCTACAGAGATAGAGAGAGAGAGTGAGACTCAATGTATAAGAGAGTTTCTTAAAATAATTTTTTAACGTTGCCATCATATTACAAATTATATAAGAGGCCTGGTATACGATAATATTATGGTTACATTAAAAAAAAAATAATATGAATCCACCTTCAATGGAATTGTTTCTTTCAAAATCGATAAATTTAATATTTACTCTATAACTCTAATCATCCATTTAAAATTTTTTGTTATTTTGAGGTTTTCTTCCAGGTTACCTTTATAACATTATCTTTAAAACGTTGAAAAACTTGAAAAAATAAAATCGTGTTTTCTGTCTTAGTATGTTAAAAATCTATACCAAAATGTAATTTAAAACCTATCGCTCGCTCTATATTGAATTTAAAAAATGGAATTTAAACCATTATCTATCATACTTTACAACCGAATAATATTTTAAAATCAACACGAAACGGCCAACTTTTTATTATTCTCTATAATTTTGCCAACATTCTAGGGTATATCCCAGTCCACATTTTCGGCTGAGTCCATAAGTTCTGGATCCATCTGGCAACTCCAGCGACTCACGTGCGTTATCTTTGACTCGGTGGGCCTGTGGAAATGCAACAAGAGCAGTGTTTTCGCCATCCGATTGCTCTCTCCGAAGGGGATTCTCTCTTTTTTGGAAAGATTCACCTCGTATAAGAGGTGAGCAGAGCACAGCAGCAACAACAGTCGGAGAGGCAGAGGCAGCCACAGCCACTGCCACTGTTACGGGATCCATGCTGCTGGCCAAAGCGAGAATGGCGACGAAAGGCAGCCAATGGCTTCGATTGGAAGCCAGTCAAAAATGGTCCATCGACGGGAGATGAACAGCAACGAGAGCAGCAGCAGCAGCAGCATCCGTCAGCAGATCCGCAAGCCAAGTCGCTGCCAAAAGCCAAAACCAAAGCCAAAGCCAACCGAACCGGGCCAAGTCTAAGAGAACGTGTGTGGTAGTGAAGTGAAATAGATGTGCTTGCGTGAGTGTGAGTGTAAGTGTTGGTGCTAGTGCGTTCGTGTGGGTCGCAGGACCACCAAAGCCTCCAAAACCTTCCCCCTCCCCCCCACACGCTCACTTCAAGTCAGACAACGACAAACGTCCACTCCGTTGGTTCTAGTTCTTTTGCTGATGCTTGTTAGTGTTAAAAGCACGCAGCATCAGCAGCACGGGGCATGAGTGCGCCAAAAGAATTACCACTGCTGCAGACACAACTGCCCCACATACACACACAAACAGCCAGAGAGGTGGAAATGGAAATGTCTGAGGAGAAAAAAAAACACAAGAAATGTCATTTGAATAGTTAAGGAGCAGCCAGGAACAGATACAAGTATTTCGTGGGCCTCTGCCCGAGTTTGTGTGTGTGTGCACGGATTTATGCAGCACTAGTTACATAAGCCATCATCATCTTCGGCAGCAGCAGCAGCATCTGAAGACAGCCAAAGGCATCGTTAGCCTCAGCCAGCTGCCATAAGTATGCTATGAATTTCGCTTTGCACTGTAATTCCAGACTTGCGGAAAAGGGGGAGTTTTAGGCAGGGGCGGGGACGATAATGCCGTCGATACAGCACCAGCAATGAAAATCGCATTAGCATTAGGATGTGATAACAGCTGCTACCCGCCCATCAGCTGGCAACGACAACGGCACTCGGTTTCACCCACAATTACCAAGGCAACAATTGTTGTTCAAACTTTGGATAACGCATACGCACTGTTGCACTTGAGTTGTGCCCAAGTCGAGGCGTAATGATTGCTATTGGGTGCCAAGCGATTTCCAAGAATTTTGCTGGCATTGCCCAATGAGGCATTGAAAGTCACTTTGGCGGCGGGCAGTTTTTATTGGGGAATGTAGACACAAAAAAACAATACTGAAGCTCATAATTATACGATTATTTTTTATTTGTTGAACTTGGCACATGATTATGTTAAAAAGACTTCCTGCAGTAATAATAATAAGTTTAAAAAACTTGATTCTATATTGTTGAGTTTAATTTAAATATTTTGTAATTTTAAAGTGAATAATAGTATGTTTAAGGCTAATAATTAAATAGTAAAAGCTAATAAGTCCCTATTGATAAACAAAATATTTCGATTAAATATTTAAAGTCTTTAGTTATTCGAAAATATTCGGAACTATAAATATTTTATACAAATTTCAGATTAAAACACACTTGTTCGGTGTGGAAACCGTATTGTTTAAACAACCGAATCCAAGTATAACTTTTGTAAATGTTCTCTTTATTAAACTGGAAAGTGGTCAAGTGGCTAAAAAAACTAAGCCGGTAAAATAAAATATGATAAAAACAATGATATTTATAAACAACATTTATTCAAAATTTATAATATCAACAGACGTATTTTAGGCTATTATTAGGATACCAACATATTTAACAGGAGTACTTCATAGCATAGATGTCTTTTAGCTAGCTGCTTCGCAAATAATACAAAAGTGTACAGTCTCATTTCATTACATTTAAGGTCCTTAACTAATATGAATGAACATCTATTTACAGAAATTTATGCTACTTAATGCACGGACAAATACGCTGTTTCCTTGAGGATAGTTGTTTTCTTATTTACGACACCTTTTAAATTTATCCTCAAATTGCCTGCATTTCATTTATATAATGCCGGTGCAGCTAATTTGCGCAGGTGGCAAGTGGGGCTGATACTTTTAGCAGCACCATTTGAAGTCGGAAGCTGCATGGTTTTCCCATTTTTGCCGCAATCAGGAGGAAGCTCATTAAAGCCAGAAGCAACAACGGCAATACTGAAAATAAGCTGAAAGTTTTCCACCAGAAGGAAAAGCGGGTTGGCGGCGAAATTGGGGGGGAAAAGCTGAAGCAAATGAGCATAGTCTAGCACAGCGTGTGGGCGTCTGTGTGTGCGTGATGGGGCGTGGCAAATTGGGGCAACAGAAACATGATAAGGTCTCAAAATGTTACCACAAAAATCCATTGGGAAGTACAGAACATTTTCCATTCTGGCCGGGGCGTTGGAAATTAAACCGCAATTAAATTTGCATTAGGCAATAAAAACAAAGCGGAGTGGCCACTTGTTGTTGTTATACTTATTGTTGTCTCCGCAGCTAATTACAAGATTTTTGCAGCAGTCGAGAGGAGCGGGATTAAAAAACAATAGAAATGCCAGGACTCTAAATGCCTTTTCAAAAGTGCCACAAACACATGTACATAAAATAAAAATAAAAGCAACATTTAAGAATAAAACAGTTAAAAGATATTATGTCGCTGCCAACATGAGTAGAAAGTCAGCAAATAAAAAAAATAAGCTAACAGCAACACCCAACCGAAAATAAACAGCAAAAAATTGTTTTCATCTTCTAAAAGTTAAGAGCGAGAAAACATAATAAGAAAATCATAATGATGATGGATTAACTGTTCCCAGTTGGTGATGTTGTGAGAGTGAGAAAGCGAGAGTGTGGGAGAAGCAGCGGAAGTCACAGCAGCAGCAGCAACATCAACACAGCAGCAACATCAGCACAGCAGCAACACTGCAACAGCAGCAGCAACAGCAGCAAAATAAGGTTAGTTATTGTTACTTTCCCCAAACTTTTCTTTCATTTTCGCGCTCTTCTTTCGTCCTCGCCATCTACCATTTTTTCCGGTTTCGTGATCCACTCAGCGGCTGACCACAGTTTGTGTAAATCATTATTTATGCATTAATTATTAAAAAATACACATACACACACACAGATCAGCAGTGGCAGCTGCCGTCAGCGGGTGGGAGAAAGTCATTAATCTTGGGCAGCTTACACGGAGTTTTTTGGGGGTCAGTACATAAGAAATTACGACCGAAATTAGGTACGTGGGCGAAGTACTGGGTAGCTCGGAATATTGAGTGAGTGGAACGGATGGGGCCTCTCCTTCTGGCCTCCTTTAATTGAAAGTTGGTAAGCTGGTAAGACTGCTTGCCAGATGCAGATTCCCTTGTAGGAAAATTTCATGAGAAATCATGGCAAAAATTCTAATTGCTGGAAGGAATTTCAATACCAAAAACTTTGGCACAAATCCAACTGAAATTGACAGAAGCTATGCTTCCAATTCGAAATCAGGTTTGCCTCCATTCGACCTCAAATTCTTCTGTAAACTTTAATGTCTAACTCTTATTTGACTATGGCGCGAAATATTCTACTATTGAATGGCAAACAGATGAACATTTATTTATATTCTATGAAGTTTGCTTTATTTTAAATGCTGCTTTTTTGGCATTATTTTTAAGTTATTTAAAAACAAAAATAACAGAAAGTACATTTGCCTTTCTCTATTTTGACGAATTTTTAGCACAGTGTAGTTGTTAAAAAGAAGAACTATATTTTTCTCTTTGAGTATAGTTCACCCTTTTTTGACCCAGCTTCAGAAATACTATTAATAATATTCCAGTCATGTTGCAAATCCCGGGAAGGGCACTTTAGTTCAGGACTCATTAGCTTCAATAGCTTGCAAATCACATGCGAGTGCCTTGCATTTATATTTGAAGGAAAAGTAGCGAGCTCGTGATGATGAATTCACTAAAGAATTTTATGAGGGCTCGACGGCATTTCTCAAACAATAAGTTTAATGCAATTAAATTTAAGTTCTGCTCCATTCTCGTATAATCCATTATGGCACTAAATGCTTAACTGCTCTCGCTTGCCTCTAACCATCTTATCCACCATGAACTGCATTTATACATTTTCTTCTTGAAAGCTCTCCAGGAGCCTGTCGACGCTGCAGGACACCGAAAAGTTTCCCTGAAAGAAGAAACTTGTCCAACTAAACTAGAAAGTTATTTGCGAATGTTTCGTTTTCTGCACTTTCTAAGCAAAAGTTGTACAACCTTCCGATGAAATCGCATCGAGGAGAATGAAATATAATAAAAACACGCTCTGAGTTTGCCTTTTTGATAAACAATTCAAACACGAAGCCCCCACACATGCGACTCCAGATGCAATAATAATTTGGGTAAGACTTTACAACTAAAGAGCTGTGTGGTTTCTTTTTTTGAACGGCTGCATATGCTCCAGGATTGTGTTATGCCCAAGTAGTTGGCTTCTGCTCATACTTAAAATCAAGTGCATTTATCATTTTGCTTACGCCTAGTAAATGCCAAGGGTCTGTGATAGTCACAGTTTTAATGATAGAGGAGGCTTATCTGGTAAAAACATAAACATATAAAGACCGGTATTCCAAATACCAGCCAGGAAAAACCTAATAATATATGCAATTAATTTAGCAACTGTCCTGATACCAACGTCTTTCTTGTTTCAACTGAATCTGCGAGCGTGGCCCTTATGTGTGACTTTGGCATCATGCCCAGCAATAAAGAATTTCCCAATGAAGTCATCCCCACCCCGTTGAAATCCCCAGACCCTTCTTTATGATCCCCAACATCCTTTGAGTCCCTTTAGGAGCAACTGTCTGAGGGATGTTTATTTCTGTAATTGTTGTTGTCTCGTAAATTACAGTTTTTGCCAGAGTCCTTTGTCCCTCTCATTGTGCACTAGCTTGAAAATTAATATAGACATGCAAAATGGCTGACTCAGCAGTTTGCAGTATCCTTTTAAGTCGCATCCTTTGCGACCGTGCCTCCGCTTGTATTTGCATTCGAAATTATACTGTCGCACTTGTTTGCTAAAGGCAGGTGAAGCTTTTAGTGTTATTAATTCCCAAAGAGGCAGGCAATTTTGGGGAAAAGCCGACTGTGAGGCAAGCCAAAAAGTACATTTGCAAATGGGGAGTGGACCGAATAGAAGTGCATTAAATTAAGTGAAAAGCGGCTGTCTTCAAACTTTCAAAATGGTACTACATAGTCCTCTATGTACTTATATACTTTGTATGCAAAAGCTCCAGCCATACAAAACTCATCTGAATTGAGTGAAATAATTGTTATCCAAATGCCATTGTATGCTAAACCAAAGCCTCTTAGAAGCTTTGGATGGTAGAACATTTAAGCCGTTTCAATGCGTTCAATTTCAATGCAATTGACCCGGGCTTGGGTTTTGTTGCTAAGCTCATTATTGGGATTATGCAAGCAGATAGAGTCGGTAAAACTTACCTAAAGCTTTTTATGTCATTTTGATTTGATTTGACCACCAAAAGGTGGTGAAATTAACGCCTTAAGATTAAGATTAATTATACATAACCCACCTTTTAGACACTTTATCTTGTAAACAAAATTGTGCAAGTCCAATATGATAAAGAACGAATGTTGTGGAATTCTTTTTAGTTGGATTAAAATACAAAGGTTTTGTCTTTAAGTTATTGTGTGTATTGCATTAACAATATGGTGTTCTTCATACTAAGAACTGTTTTCGCATCCTCATAATAAGTTTAAAGTACTATTAAAACAAGATATTGTGTCCAAATCTTATGCAATGTCTTGATAAAAACTCGTCACACGACAGCTTAGAGTCCGAAATTTGAACTTTCCTTGAATTAATATTGCAAGCGCTGGGAACCTACAACACCTGTCGTTAGAAAGTTTCTTACCAGCAAATACTTAAAATTCTTAATTAAGACACAACGCCGAAAAGGAAAAACGAAATGAATATCGAAGGAGAATTAATTGTCTAAGATATCGCTAGGATGGCAATCAAAGGCAATTAACAGGACAAAGGTCCGAAAGCCGCTTAAGGAAATGACAGGGTCCTTCGCCCTTCACTCACACCTGCACTTCCATTACTCTTTTCTCTTCAAACTTAACTAATTTTAGCTACGCCTTCTCTTTATTTTGCTTGGTCGTGGCCCACAAGTATAAAAAGGAGTAAAACTGCCTAAATGTTTCAGCAATTAAAAAGGGTCATCCTTTGGTGTAGAAAAAGAAGCCCTATAAGAACAAAACAGAGAGTTTTTTGTTGTCGTCGAATTTAAAAATGGACCTAGCCAATGGTAAAGCAATATAAATTAGGTAGACCTTTGGTTACCCTTCCACATATTTATGATTAAGAAAAAGAGAATAGAATGGCTCACATTTTGTGTCTGGATGTATTTCTTAAGAATCAATAAATTTTTAAACTATTTATTTTTATAAAATAACTGTTTTTAAACTGGTCAAGACAATAATGTCCTAAACACTTATTGAAATAAAATAACTTTAAAAAATTAAGAAGTAAATCGTAGGCATCGTTTTACACATTGTCTTTGAAAACAAATAAATTATGAAATCTGTAAATGAAAATGGAAAATATTTGTCGATTAAATCAAATGGCTTAAATCGTTTCCAAGTTTTAATTTAAAAGTGTTATACAATTTATAAACGTTAATATGTACGTTTTCAAACGTTTTCAGTCATTCACAAATGTAACAGTTTCCCGATACCCTTTTCATCCGCGTTAACAAAAAAATCCGTTTTCGCTTGCCTTTTTAGTCGGCTTTCCCTTTTTGCCAACTTTTTGTTTGCCTGAAAATTGGTTTAATGGCCAAGCCCTTTGGCAAACACACACATAGACGGACGCATATTGGGGCAATTTCGTGGGAAGAAGCGGGCCGGACTAAGCACGCGACATGCTCGGTCCCTCTTCCACTGTCAAAGAGGAAAAAGTGCGGTGCCACTGAGTAAAATAAATAAATAAAGCGAAACAAGCTTAACAACAACATGGAAACTTTACACAAACTTTTGTCCCCCGTGATTGTAGTTGTAGCCTGCCGATGAGCCTGATAGATGTGTCAATAAAATCAATATTTGCTTTGCCTTTGCGACTAAATGTTCAATTAGCGCATCAATCAAAGACGCTTGAACGAATCAAATGGAAGTTCGGCTGTGTGTTTTGGGCCACTTGATACCGGGCTTAGTGATGATTTAGGAGTGAATATTAACTGTGTGATTAGACCGCAAATATTTAACTAATTAGCTAATAAGTTAAGCCCACACAAAGCCAAAATGCTGTGTACTTAGTAAATTGAGTTTGGTATAGGGGAACTGTGGCAAATTAAATCTATTGACTGACTTAATTCGCTAAGTAACTGTGTAAGCTTTAATTTAACAAAAGACAAGATCCACTTTTACGACAAAAGTTGATTGTCAAAAAAAAAAATTATTGTCAACAAGAAAAATATAACAATTGTGCACTCTTTTAACCAATATGTTGCCTACATAAATGCCTAAATAGGAATTTTAAGCAAAATCAAACAAATATGGTAAGTCTAAAAAAAAGAAAGCGTTGATTTTATATCTTGTTTAAACCAATAATATTTTCTTGGTTCATAAAAAATCCGATTTAGTCGAATTAACATTACATAACAAACAACCGTTTTCTACCATTAAAAATATATGTTATATAGAGTTGTGCCACTTGCTTAATATATGTTTTGATTATGAGTTTGTTTAAGTGTCAATTATCCTAAGAGATTGTCCTCTTTTGAAAAGCTTTCCTATAATTTATGGGATTGCGTTATTGCGTATGTGATTTTTGTAGATCCTTGAAAGCCAAGCACAAATCATGATTCGCCGTAGCGCCACACAATCATATGCACTTAATCAAATAAATGGGTCGACGTCGACCACTGCCTTGGCCCCAACTCAATTGGAAACTCAGTTCGTCGGTTGATCCCGATTGCACGTAATGCGATTTTAGCTGCATTAACAGGATGAGTGCCATTGCAATCATTTATGCGTATTTAAGAGCATTAAGCGCGTAGCAGACGCATTAATCATACGCCACATGTGCCCCGCCTTTCGTCTGCTTATCGACACAACTTGCCTCGTGGCATGGGTAATCATTTGCCATGTTGACTGATTTGCAGCAACAGCAGCTCCCTGAACATCTGCTGCTGACCACGCAGCAGCTCCCTCGATACAACAGTGGTCGCCACAGGACGAGATTGATTGGATTTGACATAACTTTAAGCAAATTTGTAAACTACGTTTCTAAAATAGAAGTTTCAAAGTTTGTTGGTTTTGAAAAAATAGGCAAAAGGCATTCAGTATACTAAAAACCTATATTGTTGTACCACAGGATGTCCGGATTTTTTTATTTATTTCTAATAAAAGGTAAATTTATGATATATATTATTTTTATTGAACGCATACATCCTGTTTTGTTGCTATGTAGTAAATTGAATATTGGGAAATAAAAAAATTGTTTATCTGCCAAAATGAAAATTTTTAAGTTAAAGTTTTAGATAAGTCTTTCAAATGTTTGTTAATGAGAAGATTAATTCCTGGCTTTTCTTTTAGTTAAATATTTATCAATATTTTTTATTGGCTCTAAAAATAAAATAACTAGCCCAGTGTACATTGCGAAACTCAGCCACAAAGTCACACAAAGTTATGCAATGAAACTTGCCAACAGAGAGTGCGTGAGTTTGAGTGCTCGTGTGTGCCCGTGATTTCTGCATTTGTGCCTGTTTGTGAGCGAAGGCAAATTTATGGCTGAATTTATGGGGCCCGAGACCCCTCAGAGGATATCAGTGGGTCCCAACGAGTGTATATGGTACACAGACCGTATATGGTACACAGTCCTGTTCCAGTAAATATCCGTGTACTGGGGCTCTGGCGTAAATAATTTACTGTGAATTCTTTACATATTTCAATTGAATAATTTATGAGCACCAGAACAACCTTATGGTTCCAAAGGCGAATTATAGGGTCTGATATAGATACATTAGCTGGTGAATTTGGATTCGGCTTGAAAAGGAAATTGAAACCTTTATAAAATATTTGAATGAAACAATTTTTTTGTTTTATATGAAAATATTAGAATGAAAGTGATTATTTTGTTTTAAATTAGAATAGTATATTTAGTTTATTAAATCTTAGTTTACGGACAACAAAAAATTATCCGATCAGATCCTCGGGATATACTTATATGAATATATATTATTTATGAGGGCAAAAACGTATTATTCATTTGATTACAAACATTCAGAATATATAAAAGTTATAAAAATCAGACGACTATATCATATCATTGAACTGACATTAATAAGATCCGAAAAAGAAAACGATGATAATAGTAAAACCGACCAAACTTCTTTGTTCCTTTTCACATATAACTAAAAATATATTTTGCAAAAACTATTTTTCAAAAATACGAAAATCAAAGAACTCTGTCATAAGGCTGCCTTGGAACTTAACTTCTTTGTTCTATAAAAATCGATATAAAGTATTTACTTTTTGTTATAGCTAAAAGGAAATAAAAAATTCGGCTTGCAGAAACTACTTACTTTTAAATATAAGAGTATATATACACTTTTAAATGTTTTACTCTTTTTTGATAAAGAGTTCAACTGTGAATTTAATTATGAACTGTTATGTCTGTTTTATTATAGAAATAAAGTGTCGATAAACGACCGACAGTTTAAATTAAAATAGTGGGAAACAACCAGTTGCGCCAGTTTTCTCAATTTCTAATGAAAGGATTTCAATGTAGCAATACATTTGAATTTCACCATTGCATAATTAATATTTGCCACACATGCAACATTTTTAATTACTTTGCCGTCTAATTTATTTTTGGCCACAAGGCAAAACGATTTCCAAACAGAAATGTGGGGCTAGTTGTTTGAAACGCTGATTAAATTATAATTGTTATAAATGTCCGTCGTTTGCGGCTTATTTAATGAGTCGAGGTTCTATAAAATTAATGCAATACAATATTAAATCAAAGTGAGCATACAAAGAAAGCGTGTTCTTTAAAGATTAAACATCCAACAAACGGATCAATTTTCTGCTGATTTTAGATGTATAACTTAAAAGAAAAAAATACATTGGTTTTAAAACCTTTTTGATATGTTGAAGGTGTGACTTTTTTAATTCGTTTATATGTGTTTGTTATCTAACACAAAAGGGTTTGTTTTAATTACTGTCAAACACCAATGACAAGGAGTCGGCCCCAAGTGTGCAGTTGCACTTTTTACTAGCAAATTTGTTTAATTATAATAAGCTGGAACGTTTCTCCTTTGAATTCAGAATAAACTTATCTAATTTATATACATTTTACTAACATTATTTAAATTTAAATTTAAAAAAAAGACAAAACTAATTTTAATATTTAATATCGGTCTTATAATAAAATCATTTTTAAAATTTTTATCTGCACAACAACGGGTACAATACTCGAAAAAAGTTATTAAGCTGTGATATTATTAAATAGGTTCTCAATAAAAGCATCATCTTACCTAAGCAAATAAAACATATAACAACAACATAATGATCTCCCCGACAGTGACAATATTGCTAATACGCAACGTTGCCGTCGTCTCAAGTTAAGGTACTCATACATAATGTGACGGTCCCATCGGACCCACTCACATGTCCTCATCCACTTGGTATTCGGATTCCTATCGCCACTTGGCATTGACCCACAAATTGCACAATTTTCGTTAACTGCCCAATTTGAATGTCACCGAAGTTCATCGAGCACCCATCATTGGACCCGGCCCGAGTTCGCAGCCATCTATAATGTGTCTGTCCACTCGGCCAGTGCCTCTTATAAATAAAACACAGATTTGTAGCCATTTTGTTCAGCGAAAAAAAATTAACTTAATTTGAAATGCGGCGGTCCAAAAGGAAAAAGAGAAAACCAAAGCCAAAAGCCCGCAAATATTTTTACGCTTCAGCGCGTTGTGTACGTGTATGAAAACGCGTATGAGTGTGGGTTTGGCTGCCACGGGTATGTGTGTGTACTCCTTTCGTGGTGTGAGGTTTCCGACATTAGGCATGCATTCAAGTTCTTAGGAAAGTTGCCTAGAGTGTTTTGGGTGGGAGTCCCGAGTCCCCAGACTCCGCGCGTATCCCAAAACTTGGGATGTTAAATGGGCGTGGCATCGTCTGAGCCACGTACACTGCAAAAACTTTCGCCTGCGGTAAAAATGAAGAGTATTTTTAGGCTAGAAACTAAAAAGACTAACTCGTATGTAACTGGAAAAATAGTTTAATTATGAATAACACTTAATAGTTTAAGTTATTATGACGCGTTTCAGTTTTTACACATATTTTAAAATTTAGATTTTATGATTAAATTGGAAAACAAAACATTTTTCTGATTTCGACCTTTAGTTAAAGACCTTTGGTTAAAAGTGTAAATGATAGCGTTGAGGTCAAATTAGTCGTAAATAGGATTTTAAAATCAAATCGTTTTTTAAACGATATTAAATTTTATACTTTTGTTCTTGACTATTCGCTAAGATCAAAAAAAACAACAATAAATTTCTGATCAAAATTAAAAAATTAAATCATCTATTTTCTCTGTTCTCGGTTGAATAAAGTTAATACAAACTACTTACTAAACATAGGTTTTATGTTCCGTTTTTTCTTTCGGTGTAAGCCAGGGTAAGGCAAGTTATTTATAGATTTATGCACCCTCACGCCCAGCCCGAAATCATCATTGCCGCAGGACTCGAGGCCGTGGGCAAATATCGCTTTGGGCCAGCAAATAGTTAATTCGCCATCTGTGTTTGCTTTGGAGTGCGAGGATGTGTGTGGGTCCGTGTGGGTGAGCTCCAGTCCACATTATTGCAGCGCGACTGGGCAAACTACTTTTCCTCGGCTGCGTTGACCCTATTTCCTTCCAAGCCACTGGGGTAATCTTTTATATGCTCTCCGGTCTCAACACTCGCCCTCCTCCGCCGCACTTTCTCAAGTCATGTCGGGGATCTCGTAACGTGTCCTGGCCGGGCCAATAATTAACCCCTTTATTAATATCCTTACTACAAAGGGCTCATATGAGCTGGCTGACTGTGTGTGCTTGTTACACTTGCCCATAAAACTTGGTCATCTGCCACTACCACTCGTAATCGGGAATAGCTCTTAAACAGAGAGCCAAATTCTTTTGCCATGCGAAATTACAATACAAATATTGTTTGGAAATCTCTGTGTTAGACAATCTATTATAAACTATTTAGATTTTAAATAAAATACCTTTCATGACTTCTAGTCGTCATAGTAATATGTTGAACAAATTTTACAATTTACATTGTGTTCTTATAAGACCTCAGTGAAAATATATAATATAAAAAACTTTTTAATCTCACATAATTATATGGAAAGGAACTTTAAAATGACTAAATTTTTCCAAGTCCCTGTTAACTTTCTTATAAGATATCGTTGTTAGCAACGTCTGAAATTGTTCCATCACCTTTGAGATGCCAGGGTATCGATTTCTCTTCCAGGACGCCCCACAAAGTTCCGCCCTTATTGTTTGCAAAGTTGCCAGATGGCTTCTCTTTTCCCAGGCAAAACTTGCCAATTACCCGAACCGTTGACTCGACGAACAAAGGATTTGGGACTGGTGAATGGGTAAGTCATGCTTAATATAGTTGCTCGGCAGTTAATTAACAACACGCAGAGACATATACAACGCGTAGCATCAAGGGCAGGGCGGCATCCGGTGGGATTTCTCGGGCTGCTCCGGATGAATCCGCCTCCGCTCGGTCTGCAGCTCCAGCCGGCGATCTCGGAGGCGATTCTTGTGCCGGTGGTAGCTGCAGGAGCAGGCCTTGCGTTCCTTCTTTGGGGATTTGTCCTCGTGATTACGGTCTTTTCCTCGATTCCCATTCCGGTCGCGTTCCCTGATTGTATTTCCAGTTCGCTCCGGCCTCTTGTCCCTATTTGTATTTTGATTCCTTTCCGAATCAGGAGCCTGCTCCCCAACCCATTTCTCATTTCGATTCCCATTCCTGTCCCTCTCTAAATGTATATCTCTTTGCCGATCCCCATTTGTTTGCCTTTCCGTGATCCTTTGACCCGTTTGCTTCTGCAAAGCGACCCAGTCGTACAAGAAGTCGTACAACATCATCTGGTTTCGGAAGAGCACCTTGAAAAGCTGGCGCAGATACACATAGTCCGGCTTTTGGTCGAAGGGCAGCCTGCGGCAGTACTTGAGGTACAGGTAGAACTCTGTGGGAAAGCCAGAACAAAGAGTTTGCAGTGGGAGACTCGCCTTGGACTCGGCTATCCTCTCGTATTTCTGGGCATGTGACTGCGCCCGGATTCCCTGCCACGGAAGGCGACCCCGCCGAAAGTAGAGCAGCAGGTAGCCCACGGACTCCAGGTCGTCCCGTCGCCCCTGCTCCGCATAGTGGGCTCGGATACTGGCATACCGCGCCGTGCCCACCAGGTTCCGGTTATCCGAGTACCCGATGTGCTGCTGCGAGCGCAGGCTGTAGAACTTCTTGGCCAGCCCGAAGTCGATCATGAAGACCTGGGTGCGATGGCGGCCCAGGCCCATCAGGAAGTTGTCCGGCTTGATGTCCCGGTGGATGAAGTACTTGCGGTGGAGGTACTCCACGCGGGCCAGGATCTGATCGGCCAGCATCAGCGTGGTCTTCATGCTAAAGGTGCGCGCGCAGAAGTTCAGGAGGTCCTCCAGGGTGGGGCCCAGCAGATCCATTACCATGACATTGTAGGCCCCCTCGGTCCCGTAGTGCCGCACGTGGGGGATTCCCACCCCGCCCCTCAGGACCCCGTAGATCTTCGCTTCGCGGGGCAGCATCGGATACTTGACCCCAGCGCTCTCCACTTTTATGGCCACCTGCTCGCCGTACTTGAGTCCTTCGGCGCTGAACAGTTCGCCGAAGGAACCGTTTCCGATTCGCTTTACCAGGCGGTACTTCCCCGCCACTATGATTTCCGGCAGAGATGGCCGCTCGTCCGAAGATCGGTGTGATCCCACCCGTCTGTGGCTTTTCTGTGCATTTCGGTGTGATTGTGGTGGATGGTTTTGCTCCTTGTGGATCAGGGTTTTGGGTGGATTGGGATTGGGATCGGGGCGGCCTTGGCAACGCCTCTCGTCAGTGGCACGCCCCTTTTCCGGTTCTGCCATGCGTCTTGGCGGAAGAGAAATGTTTTTGGCGATCAACAGCTGACACCTTTGATAAGTATGATGTTATGTATGATTGATTTTTCGAAGATTTCAAAGGCAAATTATAACGAAAAGTTCCCTACACTTATTTAAACATATGTTTTTATTGATTATTTAGCACAGATTTGGTTGCATTTAGTCAGCTAGAGTAAATTTAATCAATGCAGACAGAAGTCAATCTAACTTCACTTCCCGTCTTCAGTGTCATTTTGAAAATTTTCATTTTGTTTCACCCTTCAATTGAAATTGTTTTCACATCAAGTTTCCTTCTGCCTTTTTGGTTTCTGATCATTGGTTGGCACTTATTTTCCAATTAGCTGTAGAGAAACTGTCGAAGCTATGTCCATATGTCTGTCAAATCGAAATTCTCGCTGACATCGCACATACGTTCAGTGGTGAGGATGTACTACACCGAACCGGATTAATTTACTAAATTGATTACGTAACTTGACTGGCTCTATCATCTTCACATCCACCACAGACTTTGGCATCATACCCATCACGTTGCTGCTACTCACTTGAATTGCTTGGCAGTCTGTTCAAACTGGGGCATGGAATACTTGCCGTTTGGGCTTTGCAAACTGCACTTTCAATTAGTGAATTTGACCCGCCAATGTTGCCTCCAATCTGTTATTTGCTTTTTTCACCATTTTTAAAAACAAAACATACTCCCTTTATCATTTTTTCGTCCGAAATATTTCACATTTGGTGCTTTTCAGCTCTTTCTATATTAACTATTATATATTACTGGCATGCTTTTGAGTTGATTAAATTTATGGACATACCGATTGTAAACATCCATAATTCAATTACATGGCCTGTTTTGTGAGTGGATTTACATACATTCCAAAAATGTTTGGTAAGCAGTATGTGAAATGGAAACTACGCATAATGCAAAAGTTGAAATGGCAAAATTGTTTTGCATACTAGGCACAGTTGTCATTTACAGAAAAGTTATGGTAAATATAATTATACTGAGCACAAATGGGTTCAGATTTTGTTTCAAATGCTGATTTATTTTTGTGTGAATAAAGTATATCTGAACTTCGGCTAAGTACTTTTATTTGCAATTTCGTTGTATATTCTTGCTCTAGTCTACGGTATGTGACTTTTTGGGGAAATATTTGAATCTTAGAAAAAAACCGCTTGTACCAAACCAAACCGGAAAATGTCCAACGGTTTCAGAAAAATTATTCTTTCCTCTTCCATTTTAAATTGTGGGAATTGTGGGTCTTAATATATGTCCGCTTATAAACTGCAATAAAGAAAACTAATTGGCCACCCAAACAAATTGTGATGTTGAATTTACTTCCGTAAATTTCGGGAAAGGTTCTGTGGGGGCCTTTAGTAGCGACAATCCAGACAACTAAATGCGTGGATCCGGCCTTAAGCCCTTATTTATGCCATGCGAATGGGTACAATGGGCGGATGGCAGAGCCCAACAAAGCCACATTAGTCCCGACTATATGGGTATCTCCCTGTCCACGTCTGGCAGTTATAGCTTCATAGCCACATGCCCACCAAAGACCACCCACACGCATGCAATAATGCTCCTTTTATGGCTGCTTTGCAAGAGGCTCTAGGACGAAGAAGTGGCATTAATTTAAAGCTTATGGCGCATTAATTTTAATTAAAATACTGCCACAGCAGCTAGCAGCAATAAAAAGCAATGTTATAACTATCCAATCCACCCTACATCACCATTCACTCTTTTCTAACATAGAATGTTGGAAAAGTTCTCCATAAAGCTTGGAATGATTAGCCATTTAAAGTGACTGCGCACTTTTGGTAGGAACATGCCCCAACCCAATCTCTAATTTGCTATTTACCGCATCTTGTTTTTTATTTGCGGGTGGTTCCGACCTGGTCCCATCAAAGTCTCGTTTTTCACATTCCTGCCTCGGCAATTGAAAACAAAAGTCCCGTCAAAACTTATCCCTTCCTTGGCCACGCCCTCCTAATCCTATTTGATGGCTTGTCAAAGGTTATGGCCAAATTGTCGGCACATGCTTCGCATATTTCATAGTTTTCGCTTGTTCGTTTGTTGTTTTGCCGAAGCTTCAAAACTTTTTGGGCAGCTAAATCATTTACATACACGCTGGTTTGCCAGCCAGCTGGAGTTGTGCGGCCACATGGCGTATGTGTGACGTGATGTCGGGAGCTTCGGGATGCTGTCTTGCTTTTGCTCGATTCATCTGTAAGCGCCTTTTCGGAAGTGTTGAAAAGTTTGCAGTTTGATTTGTCAACAATGGAAGTGGCCTGGGGGTCCAAGTGAATCTATAAATATCCTTCATTTATAAATGTCAGATGTGAAATCTTATGTTAGACAGTAATATTTACTACAGGGTAGTACGGTTTTTAGGACTTAAGACAGTAACATTTTGTAACTTACCCTATGTAAAATCTACAGGGTAGTACGGTTTTTAAGACCTAAAGTGAATTTAAAAATGTATGACTCTTTCCTTTCACTCTCATTGTCATAATTCTTCTTCTCCGCTGAACTTGACTTCCCGCACTTTCGGCTTCTCGCCTTGTAATGCAAATTAGTTCAATATGACTTGCTGAGCTCACTCCAACGGCAGCCCTACAAAATTGCCTTAATGGAAATTATAATCATCGTGACAATGCGTCATGGCCACGCCCTCGCCCTCGCCCACTTCGATGGGCGTTCGCCTGATTATCAGAAGCGGCGACAATTTCGCTGACATTGTTGCCAACAAGTTCCAGATGGAATGCGGAGGAGGCTAAAATTCTTGCACAAAAACTCATTAAAAGTGACAGAGAAGATGAACAGGAATTGTTAAGCAGTCGAGCCTTTTCCCCACACACATACATCAAACACCAGCGGAGACATGAAAAATGTAAGAGTGACAAAGGCAAACAATGAGATGCCAAATTGTTGAAATTCGCTTTTTTCCACCTCCCAGCCGCCGCACAATGAAGATATAGATGCCAAATTATAGATTAAACAATGACGTGTTCCCGATAACCGACTCCTACCCGGCTCAAAGCTTAAATACATATTCAATTTGTTGGCCGCCTCTGGGACACGTACATACACCATTAACATAATTTCGCCGCGTTTCGGCAATTTGAACACGTTCAAGAACCGCATCCAAGTATCCTTCAACTCATCCCCAAAACCCATTCCCGATACCACCCCGCCGATTGTTTGCTATTTTTAAATTCTAGGGGCGTAACTAGAATTTAATTTCTCAACTGCCTAGTCGTGGCTTTGCGATGTCTAGGCTTTCGGATGGAACACGTACACTCACTTGTTCCCGGGGAGCGGTGGATGGAGCAACCCGAGCTGGGATGTGATGGGAATCTCCCTCATCTTTACAAGTTAAACACATCTCAGGCCCGGGTGGAACACAAAAACAGACATTTAGCATACGCTTGCCGCAAAATAAATTCGGGAGGGTGGCGTCTCTTCGATATCCCCCTATTAATATCCCAAAATCCCACCATTAATAACGTGCAGCAGAAGCTTGTACTCAAATGGAAATCAATATTAGCTCCTGAGACTTACATTAAATGGATTTAATTTTATAATTCATTTAAGAGTGGTCTATTTCAATAAGAAAATTAGATACAATTATTTAAGGGGTATTTAAATTAAAATAGATTTTATGCTTAAATAAGAAGTTAAAAAGTAGTTAAATATAACATACATAACATATGAATAAATACAATATTTTATTGAAAGAAATAATTACACACACAGTCACACTAATTCATAGTTTTTTGTGGGGGAATATATGCTGTCTTCCCTGACTAATTTGATACCATTTATCTGCATATTTAAGAAGTCTTCTTAACCACCTAAGAGTATACTGATTTCCTCACCCTCAACTTTTACGCAACAACTTCCATCTCGCCTGGGCTAGCTTTAATTTTAATGTCTCACGCGTTTACACATGTGACTGGCGATGTTTTTGTTATTCCTGCCTGCTGCTTTTATGTCAACCAGGTCAAAACATGACCCCAGCCATTAACAAGGGGAACTTATCCCGGCTCTTTTGCCGTCCTGCTCCCCTGCAATGCCAAAGCGTTTTAAATTTTTTGCTGCCTCGAACGCTTTGCCCCTGCTTCCTGTACTTCCTTTTTTATCTCAGCTGCTGTGAAAATCCGATGAAATATCTACTTAGGCACAAGCACGCAGGATGTGAGAGTGTGTGTTTAAGGACATTGGGCGTGTCTGTGTGTGTGTGTGTGTGTGTGGGCGTGTGTTTGCATTGGCATGTGTGACTTGGCATCAACTCGTGCGCAAAACAGTTTAAGAAAATTTCATCTGTCTTGCATTTTAATGATTTAATTTTGCATAAGCTTATATCGTCGAGTCGTCCTTCCTCGCTTGTCAGAGGCAAGGATATGCGGCGCTATCGGGATTCCCTCAGCTTTCCCTCGATTGAGTGACATGTCATTTGATGACATTAGCCAAATCCTGCTTGCGTCTAACCAACATGGGTCAGGCTAATCCCGAGACATTCCTGGCCCATCCAGGACACACTCACCCACTTAGTGCCAAGTCTGTCATTCCGGTGTACACAACTCACAATCCTCAAGTGTTGGCCATAGTTTGTCAGCCCGACTCAGTTCGGCAAACTTTGCAACTGGGACTTTGAGTTCATTATTTCGTTTTCCGCTACAATTTCTCAAAGGATATGCGTAATTTCCGAGCCAAATGACAGCTGCCTGTTAGGGCAAGGAGCGGGCTCCTGCTCCTGCTCCTGCTAATGATGTCCTTCATGTCAACTGTAAGTTTCGGATTGCTTCCTGCCCGCCTCCCATTCTGCGGCCAGAAAACGCCGCCCCTCCCACGCGAACCCAGATGTGACACCCCCAATTCGCACCTTCCGTTGACTTTGGCACGCAACCGAAATGAATCCGGCTCATCAACGTGGAAACTCTCTGCTGATTTCTGCCGCCTACGACTCCGACCCCCCTTTTTCCATTTGATTTTTCCGGTGCGTGTCCTAGGCGAGAATTGAGCCTTTT